TAAGAGAAAAATATAATTGGTGGTTTCAAAAGGAATAGTTGTAATTGTAAATAAATATTTTACCAAAAATGAAAACGATTCGTGATATTATTCTATTTTAATAATTGCGAGATGACAACGGACATACTAAAAGCTTAATCTTTACATAGTCTATGGTTGTGCGCGCGTTATTCAATTTAGTTGCTAAGCAACGCCGTAATAATTCTAAAAGCACAGTTGTATTTGGTATTTGTCCGATTATCGTGTTGGGTTCATGTCCTGATGAATTATAAATAATTTCCGGTCGTACGCGAGGAAGCACTCGATCGAATCTACCTTTGTTAAAAATGTTAAATAACTAAAAAATGATAGCATTCAGGTTACATTTGTTTCGGACATTAATATTGCAGTGTTAAAATAATGCATTATATTTCAGTAAATTAGTAAAACAATAGTATTTATTGTACAGTATGATTGATATTAAAATTCAGTTTTTATTTTTCAATTACATTGTATTTGCCTTTGCCGAGGATTATGAAAGTGATGATAAACGTAAGTACCAATTTATTTCGATAACTTTAATAATTAACAAAGCGCCTCCTCCACTTTCAGTAGTTTATTACACATCGTATTAAAAAAATATATAATTTTGATACTTTTGAATAATTACAATACATAGGTATATAGTTTTAAATTAAATAAAATTGAAATTTCCTGTAAATAAACTTAAATTGTTTTTTTTTTATTTTAAAATGATAATTTTGCATTTTTTACATGATAAATAATTTGCATTTTCATAAGTTACTGCCATTTAGAATGAACAAATACATACTGTAGCACTAGTGAGCAATATAATATTAAACTTTTTATGAGTTTATTGTACCAAATAAAAGAAAAAAGACTGGGTATTTATTCATAGGTACTGTTTTCTTTGCTATCACCATATTTGAGTTTATTTAAGTTATTAAAATTAAGCACTAAATAAAGCAATTAAAATTATCTCTGATTAATCATTAAATTGATGTGTTTCAAATCGTAAACGTATCAATTAAAATTAGTACATTTTTATATTAAGAGTGGAATGCCATCGAATGACTTCTCTAATCCTGGGTAGGCAAGAGGGATTGTCTGTCACTGTCAGGCACCTACTGACTAAAAACCTTGCCGTTACTTCTCCTACCCCCCTGAAAGAGGCCGCGATGCTCTTTACCAATTAAAATGGCTAAAATTTCTTTATAGTCGCGGGTCTAATTGGTAGCATAAATTCTAAAGTGTAGAAAATAGAAAAGGTTTTTAAATCATTGAACTTCTAAAACAAAGGAGTTTTACACATTTTTGCATTGGTAGAGTGCAATTGTATTTTTGCCTCTTTGGACCCTTACCTATACGTCCTTATTAAGCCCGAACTCGGCAGGTGAAAGACGTGCATACATATCCTGATTTTACATGTCTCGATTTCTTAATTATCTGTTTTGTCTCTGGTTGTTTAATAGCATCCTTATTTCTTTATCTTGTATTGGTAAAGTTATGCAAGGCAAGTTTCAGGTCTTTCATGTTAGCTTTAAAATTTCCTATAGATCACGCATAATCGTGCCAACTAATTTGTTACTTAAGAAGTAATTTAACGAACAGTGCTTATTTTACGTAGGTATATTAAATAGTTCACTGTATGAAAATCCTTTGTCTGCTGTAGGAAACTACTTGTGAATTAAACCAGTGCCATCATGACAGTAATCGTATGTTGACCATGTCCACCATATTGTCCATAATTGCGAACGCCGTATATAGGTATACCTATGGCAGGTACCTACACTACAGCTCACGTAGAATGACATAAACAATTATAATAATAATCAATCAAGGCACAGGCAACATCACAGTCAGCCGACCGCGTCCCTCGTTTCCGCTGTCACATGGAATACAAAAGATGCGTGCGCGCACCGCTCCGCGTAACCGCCGCCATTACGACGCTATTATATGCCTTTTTGTTAGTTTTTCGTTGGAAACGAATTCTGATTACTGGCAGGATGCGTGCTCTAAAATTCCACAGACCTATATGAATGAATGTTGATGTTGAATGGAATATGGATGAGGATTGACCTTACTGGGATGGGTTGTAGATGGTCAAATGTTTGCCAAGTTGTCCATTGTTGGAGATCCCATCCCATACTGCTGATTGAATGATCAAACGCCATAGTAGTGGCTACTATGTCTCATGAATGAAGGTTCTTTTGACGTGAGTATCCATAGCTATTGATGGTCAATTGTGAAGTGATCAAATTATATGGCACGCCCTGTCACTGGCTGTTTTGAGGCCTTACTCCATTCCTGTAAAATTTAATACCTTTCAATTCGGCTATTTTTCTAAGCTTAAACAGGACAGGCCAGCCCAATAGCTGGGGCTAATAATGTATTGTGGCCCCAGCCTGAAGCAATAGAAAGAACGGGGTGGTTTCGGAAGTCAGTAAGAGTCAGACACTCCCTCTCGTCCCACCCTGACATCGATTATCGCATTTGATGACATTAACGCTTCAAAAAAGTGAAAACAGAACAGGAGGTCACTGTACCTAATCAGCTGCATCCACCTTATTATAGTCACTAAGTATCACATTATCAACATCAACAACTTACCAACTTTTTTTAGATTTAGATTGCTGAAACAGTGAAACCCGTAGTTGGTAAAACTACGGGTTAAAACAAACATCCTAAACTATCTCCTGTTTTATCTGACCTTTTAACAGGAAAAAGATTACATTGTGATTTACAAAACTATTGAAGGCTTGTTCAATATCCGTGTCGTGACATGAGTCGTGACCGCTCAAACAATTCCGGTGCCATTCCGTGCACTGAACCTTTTCGCGTTTCCCGCCATCGCCCTAATATATCACTCAATTCGGGTTGCCTTTGCAATTTTGTAAGCTTTGCTAGATAGGTACTGTGAACTGTTATCATGCTATATTTTTTTAAGCGGTTACTTATTTAGGTAAGCTAAAGGTTTTAGTAGAAAATAGGTATATAGGCTGAGAAAATACTCAGAACTTGTATGAAATACGACTTTTATTATGATAGTTATGTCATGTGTCTATGTGCTTACATTATAAAATATATTAGTCACTACATTCGTCCAGCAATTTGCTGTACGCAGCGCAGACCGTACCATGTATACTGTTACATAATCGGACTAACTACTTCGCATCAATGCCACAAAATTATTAGGTTCTATCTGCTCTGCTAAACTTCATTCTATTTAATAGTCAATGAGTATTTTTTTCTGACCTTTTAAACCTTCCCAAAGACTTTTACAAATATTTAAAGATCAAAATGAACCAAATCGCTCCAGCTATTTTCGAGTTTTAGCGAGACTAACGCAAAGCTGTTTATTATTATATGTCACTGTCAAAAACTTTAATAGATATCTTATATATTGACTATCAACGTTACCTACTTAAGAAACAAAATCGATACCAAATTGATAGTTAAAAATTAATTACTAAGCACAGAAGCCAACGCTCTGTAGTAAAACCTCCATAGCTATACCTACATAACTTATACAAAACTGTATTATGTTGAAGAAATGCGTTTCGTATCGTATAAACTTCGGCGCATGGTACTGGTTGGCGCTAATCCTGGTTGTAGTGGTTCACAAGTCATAAGCGACAAGCGAATTTTTAACAAGCATCGTTCCTTTCAATCAAGTCGCAATTGCACACCGGAAGACAAAGGACAAGTGGCATGTAAGTGTGGGAGAGCCAAGCTTCGGCACGAATGTGTCAGCGGCTCGACCTGAGCGATAACACGGCCTCACAGAAAACCGGCGTGAAATAACCACAGCGTTGTGTTTAGCCCTGTGATGTGAGTGAGGTTACTGGGGAGGCCCAATCCTTCCCCTTCCCCAATCCCTCCCCAGTCCCTAAATTTCCAAATCCCTAATCCATAAAAGGTCGGCAATGCACTCGGCGTAACTCCTCCGTTGCGGGTGATCATGGGCGGCGCTGATTGCTTACCATCAGGTAAACCCTCCGCTCGATTACCGACCTATTACATAAAAATATCGGAGTAAAACAACTACAGGGTTGTGTTTCGCCATGTGAGTATGAAAAACCCGATCCTTCCCCTTCAGAAACCATGTCTGTGCAATTAGTTGAACAGACAAGTTGCGTTTAACAATCCGCTATTATCTCAGTACTTGCACCAACATAGTTCCCTGCAAATGAAAGTTACACGGAGGGCGAATGAACAGTAAACATCGTTTATTCGGAAGATCACGCGATGTTACGATGTTACAAAACTCAGATAATACGTTTGTTGACATATTTCACGATAGCTGACTTCGTTTTTAGGTATTTCTTTGAGTAAATTTCTTGATTTATACCATCTAAATGCAGCTTGCATTCTTGTTGCATAGCTTTGTAATCATTAAGGATTTTATGCTCTCTCATCGTGCTTTTGCTTATGCAAATGTTTTCTACCATCATATTTTGATGATGAAATTCTCGACTGCTAAAATTACTTTTTCGTGTCTTTCTATGAATATTTTAGAGTATGACTTGACAATTTTGAAAGGTTTTTTAAGTTTTGTTTCAAGTAGGTACCTATCAAGTAATTCTTTATAAAAAATAGGTGTGGGAGAGTCAAGCTTCGGCACGAATGGGTCGCCTTACAGAAAATCGGCGTGAAACAACTACAGCGTTATGTTTCGCCGTGTTTGTGAGGTTGTCAGAGGCCCAATTCTGCCACTACCCAATACTTGAATGCCCAAAACAAAACCCCTTACCCCAATAACGCAGGCAACGCACTTGCGATTCCTCTGGTGTTGTCAGTGGGCGATACCGATTGCTTACCATCAGGTTTACATAAAAGAAATACGTAACTACTAATCGACATTACAATAAAATTGCAACTTCGCAACATAGGTACGAAATATTTCAATATCCTTTAATGATAGTAATCAGTTTCAAGGCCAAAGCCTTACAAAACGATTATTGAAAGATGACGAAGCGTTATATTCAGCAATTGAAATTATTTTTACATAAATCTAGTACCTACCTACTTCATTACGAATCGTTTTCATTACTTATAAGCATTACGCTTACAGTAATTGCTTAAATGTTATAAATATTTTAGTTATTGGCTAATTTCAAGAAGGTATGTCCCGTTTTCTTTGCTGAAATTCGTGTTACATTAATTTGATTTGTTATTTTAATAAATCAATGACTTTTAATTTGTGTTATTCCGTTTTTGCGTTTTAATAGGTTCCTAAGCACTAAGTTACTGGCTTAAGTTATGTTTTAAGTAGTCCCTTGCTCTGTTACGATTTTTATCAAATGTTTAATATGTATATACTTATTTCCTTAAGTAGATAGAGCTTAAATAATAGCAAGTTTGTTGGCAAGTCACATTGATAATGCCACAGAATAATACAAAACTCCTTATTAATAAGACTTATTTTTTATTGACAATACCATGTAATAGGCCTTTCTGCATTCGAACCATGTCAGATTTAAGCCGGGGTTGCGGGTTAAGCGCAATAATCTATCGTGCCTCCGACCTGGAGCAGTAGGAGGATCGGAATTGTTTTCAGTTAGTAAGAGTCTTACACTCCCTCTCACCCAAGACGAGAGAAATCAAAAAAGTCTTTCCTAACTACATTCTCGTGCCATTCATCAAAATGTTGTTACTTTTATTATGCAGTATACATGTTGGTTTCCCAAGACCAACATCAACACACTCCTCGCCTGGAAGACTTCTTCTGGACAGGATCTGGAGATGGACCGCCACCACCACCAGATCCACCTCTCCCCGCACCAGTGCAACCATCGACACCAGTTGTCCGGACTACCACAGTTCTTGCTACTGTCTATCTGGATTCATATCCACCACAAGTAAGTTAGGCGGCCTGATATTATAAATGCGGAAATAAATTGCTTTGTTACCTCTTTCACTTTACCTTAGAATACATAATGGAATCAACTTAATAATGTAACCAAAATACTGTTTGTGAAAATGATTGTGAAAAAGAGTAGGTAACCATGAAGTTTCATGCTCGGTCTTCGCCATTGGAATCTACACTTTGGAACGAACCAATCGCTTCACTAAGAGGACTGACATTTCTCATCTTTAGATAATCTTTGTTTAACGTTTCAATGTGCCTGTTTTGGTCTGAATTTTTAAATTAACGGAAAAGGCCGAAGGCCTACACGCGGGCAAAGCTGCAGGTCAAAGCTAGTTTGCTGTTAATAAATATGTGATGTTTCTATGAACTATAAATAACTGGCAAGCTACCCATAATTCAAATATGCAAATCATTATTAATTGATCAAGACAATAGTTGTCGTGTGTCTTTTACATAAACCTATTTAAAGTTCAAGACTTAAAACAGTTCTTGAATTAATAATTACAACAACTTTAGCGTTTACGCTAACTTCCTGAAACTTTAGTGGGATAATAGTTTAGTAATTGAGTCATTAATATTCGTTCAGTTCCCCTTGCGGTAGAATTTTTGTCTCGTTATGCTAATGTAATATAAACATGAAACTCCCGACGGGATTTTTAATAACCACGTTTTTATGTGTACTTAGCTATACGTAGTTCAACATTTAAGATAAGTATCCATCCATTTCTCAAAAATAAAATTACTTTCAGGACCAATGACTTGGTGACTTATCACAATTCAATGATTGTAATCGTAGGAAGTCCTATCATAAAGCTGACAAAAAATTCTGATACAAGTTTTTTTTTAATATTTGATAACCCAAGTTTTCTTATAGGCGGTGACAGACAAATCAACCGGCGAGTGCGTACTTAATTGTGGCGAGCCTGGAGTACCAGGTAGCTTGGAACCAGAAATCCCCGATGACCGAAGGTACTGGCTCCTCACTGTCATTCAGGGATCCACACCAGATAGCCTGCAATTGAGACTCGCTAGGTTGTACCAGAAAGCCTTCTTGAGGTAACCGATGTTCCCCTTCAAGTATCTTCTAGTTTTAGCCAAGCTTGACACGCTCCTCATACATCATTGGTAAACACAATAAGGATCTAGGACACACATCATATGTCACAGAAAAGCTTTTTGCTCGATTTGTTCTTCAGTTCGAATATTGTCAATTCCAATCATTACACTAATACATTTCAGACAGCAAGAGCGTCATCTGGGCATCATCAAATCCCTGGACGCACCACCTGCTCGAAAGAAACATGACGTCCATTCTTTTGCAGTGAACAAAGATAATAATATTAGTCCAGTAGGCCCACAGGGTACTAACTCACCATTCAAATATCTTGATATTGATGCATCAATGGTTCCTATGGAGTCAATTGTTAGTACAATGGTAAACAATGATGAAAATTCTAGCACTAAAGCTCTAGAATCTTCTAGAGAATTCGTATATCCAGCTAATATAGAAATGTTTTCTATTGATGCTAATACTCTTACTCTAAATGCTGAGATAAAAGCTACTAAGTTGAATGAAGTCGAATCTTGGATACTAGCTACACCAACTGTTTCTATTCGTAAGAGAGAAATTACTGATAGAGAGCAATTAGAAGAAATAAAAGAAGACTCTATAGACATTCCTTTAGAATTGGAAGCCAATGAAACAATGTTGTTTAAACGTGAGATTTTGAAGCCGGAACAACAACCGCCGGTGCAAGTACATATACAGAATATTACAGAGGTAAGAAGTTTGTGTTCCGGATGACAGATCTTATAGCACTTGTCTCCTGGAACCAAGCTTAATGCAAAAACATAGCATGGTCTTCAGCTTTATGATACTGTATGCAAAAATTGCCTTTTCTTTATAAATTGCACTTTTTCAGTCTCCAGAAACGGGTAGCATTCAGATAGTATACGTGGTTCTGGTCGGTGGCAGGGCAGTACCAGCCGCGGTAGCTGCCAGAGACATGCGATTGGTCAGAGATGCTGAAGTAGCCAGAGAACTGGGAGCTGTTGTCACTACCAAGGCTGAACGTGAGTATAAGACGATGATAAATATTAATTTTAGTCTCAAAAGATTTTTATTCTTGGCTTTTATTAGACTACCTTCTGCCTTTCGAGCTTAAACTAGTGCTGCCTAATTTTCGCCTGTTAAGATGATCAAATGACCAATTATATGCATTTACTTTAGCAGCGTACCTAAAAACAGCGGAAGGTTTGGAGGGAGATGCAGGGGGTGGAGTGCATGGTACTGAATTATGGGCACTGGCTGTGGGAGCTACAGTAGCTATTCTGTTGCTGCTAGTGCTTTTGGCACTTTTGTGTCTGGCTCACAGGTACAGTAACAACATTTATCCATCAATATCGTCTCTTAAGTTGATACGATATTACATAATTTATTATTATAATATCTACTTTATGTAACACATTTATCTAAGATTTACTTTAAGGCCTCTTCAAAATTAGTAGGCGAGTGGTCAAATGGGAAAGTTCTATAGACATATTATCATGTTTTAGGAAAAAGACAATGAAATCTGCAGCCTCAATCCGTGCGTACAGAAATGAGTTATTAAGAGAAGCAGAGAGGAACCAGCTGAAGCAAGTGCATGAAGAGAAAGATGGAAGGGTAAGTTGTTTGGAAAAAGAGGGTCATGTGCAAAATATTCTTCTTGACTCCCTAGAAATAGGTTTGTGGTTGGGTAAGGGCTAGTCGGACTAGAACGGGGTAAATGAACTAGGGTATCTATTCGTAATTTTTGTTATACTTTTTTTTTCTATATACACAGTTTTAGACATTTAATGGTGTTAGCTGTAATAGTCAATTAGTTGTCAAGTACCTGGTAATTTTAAAATATTTCTTCAGCTGATCAGTGTGGTGTCACCAAGTCGAACGAGACCCAGCAGCACTCTGCTACCGATTTATAGGGCTGCGAGCGCAGCAAGTAGGTAAGCATGCACCTACGAACTATAAAAACGTCCGTATAAAAATTTCCTCTGAAATACATTCCAGATACCGTAAGCCAAAACAATTCTGATATAAAATTGCATCAACTTTTCGCATTATTTAAAAAAGTAAATCAAACCGTAGTTCTTGATCTAAAAAAGAACGAAACGAAAAATCTAATTTCTTATGCATTTAATCACTGTTTTCTTGCAATTTAGTTCATCCACAACCTCATCTGGAGTGTCAGAGGTGGCAACTGCGTTCCGTCGACGGCAGAAGAAGCCACACGCTCTCAGGATGCCGCAGAAGAAGAGAGGTAAGTCATAAAATTAAGATTTTTGTTACTTTACGAGCGGGAGAGGGTGGGTTAAGTCACTAAGAGCCTGACACTCCCTCTCGCCATACAATAGGTGAGAAATCCCCTTCTTAAAAAAATGGGTTTATGAGGAGGCCTGAATTTCAAAAAGCTAGGTCGAGTTTTGTTTTCATAGATATGGCACTTGAACGTAAACGATTATCCGCATTAATTGGACAGCAAAAAGATTCACAAAGAATGGATCACATAAAAATAAAAGGAACTTTGCGATATGCGCAAAGTTTGCAGACAGAGAAGTTTTTGCGCCTATCAGTAGCAATTTAGATTAAGGGCACGATAAAAATCAGGTATCAGTTTCTGATACTTACTAAGTATATCTCCTTCTTCCAGTGGGTACTACGGACAGTCTGCTAGAAGCAGCTGGGCTGGACAGTTCAGACAGTGGCCAGCCCTCAGCGCCACCTACACCGACCTCGTACCTCTCCATGCCCTCCGTCAATGCTTTCCCAAGGTAAGAATAAATATTTTGTTTTTCTTTATAAATTGCTCTTGTGCGGAAAGTCTGTATAAGTTACTTCAGAACGTTTATTGGTAGGATTAAAAAATGTCGTTCAGGTGGGTAAACGGTTTTTGCATTTTTTACAACGATAAGAAATCAAATATATTTTTCAGAAGTTTGTTCTAAGGTCCAATAATTTGGCCATATCCCCTTCCCTCCTTACCTATTTACCTATCAAATATCTACTTAATAAGTCTTCTTTTTTGTCGCTATGCAAAAATGCCAAACAGTCAAAACACAATTGTCAAACGAGCGAACTGATTACCTGATGGTAAGCAATCAGCGCCGCGCATGGACACTTGTAACACCAAAGGAGGTAATAAAAGTGCGTTGCGGGCCTCTTTTGGCCTTTTAGGGATTTAAGTATAGGAGATTTGAGGATTGGGGAATGATTAGGCCTTCGTTAGCCTCACTTACACGGCGAAGCACAGCGTAAATGTTGCTACACAGCGGTTCTCCGTAGAGCCGTGGTATCAATCCGGTCGATCCGATCCATTTGAGCTGAAGTCTGGCTCTCCCTCATTTATATTAATTCCTTCTTTTACAGAGGCAACGTGGTAGAACCACTATCTCGTATATTAGAACCGGTGTCAGTTCGTCACCTGGACATCGACTCCCCACCAGTTTCGCCAAAAAAGAGTAAGGAAGCTAACAAAGATGTGGTGCCTCGACGACAGATGGCTTCTCAGTTGGTACGCCTGGGGAGCATAGATAAGGACCCAGGAGTTATTGGACCTCTCGTCTGGGACCTGCATTGTCAGAGAATTAAGGATTGTAAGATTTTTTTACATTAGTATTTAAAAATATATGTGACTGGACGGCAAACAAGCATACAGATTACCTGATGGTAAGCAATCAGCGCCAGTTAATGGACACTCGCAACAACAGAGGAGTAACGAGTACGTTGCTGACGTTTTCAGGATTAGGGATTTGGAGAATTAGACATTGGGGAGGGATTGAGAGTGAGGCGGCGAAACACAGTAGGAGAAGGAACGGGGGTTTTTTAGTCAGTAAGAGTCTGACACCCTGGGCGGGAGAAGTCATTTGATAATTTTTCCGTCACAAAAAATTACAACAGAATTTGGTGGTCACAACGTCTTCTTGCCAGTATGAGTCATAAGGATCTTAATAAGGGGTAAACCTAACTCTTCGTTTCTGCATAAATGTGTACTTGCAAACCGAAACCTCAATAATAGTTTTATCTGATCTGTAAATGCGATGGGAAACTAGGCAATCCTTTTGCCTAACTTCTATAATACAATTTCTTTTACAGCTTCAAAACCATCTAGTCCAGCTAGATCAGCCACATCTGCCCGCAAGGAGCCAGGGCCATCTCGCATGCGGCAGCGGTTCAACGAGCTGATGGATGATGCATTCACCCTATTCGGCAGTGTAGGGTCCAGTCCGAACTCTCAGGATACTTATACCGTGGAAGAACGGGACCCCAAGGACAAGGGGACTCAAAATGCTGGGGTCGCTACAGGTATTTATCCACATATTCGAACCAACTTAATAATGTAACAAAGAATTTAGAAATTTTATGAAGAAACTAGTAGAGCTTTTCTCAATTTATACCTATACGTGAGTAACCCGCGATTTTTAATTAACAAGGAATTTGTGTAACTGAAAGAGAAACCGTCGAGTTTCTTGCTTGTTATTCTCCATTGGAATCTACACTTTGGAACAAGCAAATAACCTGACTTAGAGGACTGACCGACAGACTGACGCTTTGTATATTTAAGCTTTATTTGATGTTCAAAAGTGTCTGTAAGGGTCTCATTGAAATAAATGATTTTGGCTTTGGTACTGTGAAAATATTTTTCCTACTTACTGTAGAGGCTTTTAGGTATACTTCTTTATCCCTAAAGAAGAACACATGGGTTTCAATTGGTTGTGTGGAGAAGTTCTTCTCTCGAAGCTGGGTGTGAATCAGTGAAAGGTTACAATTATTTCACACTTAAAAATAAAATACTCGTGTTATATACTTAGTTTCAGATCCAAGCGAGCAGTTGGCTCAAGCTCGCAACAATAACGTCCGACTTCCAGGCTCACCATACACCGCCATGGACACCTTAAGGGGGAGATCTGCGGGACCTGGGTGAGAACCTAACACCATGATTATCGGCTTGTTTCAATCCACTGTTAGACAAAGGTCGATCTACTCAACAAGTACAATAGCCCAATGAGCTTCACCTTCAGTTATTCTGATCCAGTGTACCGATCATACTTTAATTACTTTTCGGTCACTACAGACCACATCTAGCGACTCCAGTTGGACAAATTTGTTTCATGCAGGCAGTGTTGCGGGGCTAGCTCAATGAGGTACCGCGGCCTCGGCCTAGAGCAGGAGCAGGGACAGGGGGTTTTTAGTCAGTAAGAGTCTGACATTCCCTACCTCCCTGGGCGAGAGAAGTCATTTGATAATTTTCCCCTCAAAAAAGGGCAAACGAGGAAATGACTCGCCTGGTGGTAAGCAATCAGCTCCACCCTTAGGTAGGTATACTAAAACATGCTGTGTCACAAGTGCCTTTTGGGGATTGAGTTTGGGCAAGCAAGTTGTTGATGATGATCTTTATTTTTGTATTATTAATTGACAGTTTTTAGATTCCCTATACACCTGCCTACCTTGATTTACCGTTATCATTATGGTCTTAATGTATTTTTGTCCAGGAGGGCGGGGCCCAGTACATCAACGCCAGTGCAGGCGGAGGGCGCTCGTCCTCGCACCTCGTTCACCAGGACTGCAGCGGAGAGACGGGTGCCTCCACCGACCCGGGCCTGGGGGCAAACTCCCCCACAGGTAATCAAAATATCTAGCAGTATAAATGAAAAGAGATGAAACTTGAATTCTGCGAAAAAAATTGACCGGGTGAATACCTAACTAGAACCTACCGAACTTAACCGAATTTGGGATTGGTTTCTTTTATTTTTAATATACGAAAGGAATTGTTCAAGGGCAATAAAATCAATCCCTATTAAGTACGTCAGAAGTAACGATTAGAAGTAGGTAAAAAAAAATAGCCTTATACATATTATTTTGTTTTGTGATTGGTGGAGGGATTTATTAAGACATCCATAATAGAGAGAACAATTCCCGAATCAAACCCACCCAACTTCCTTACACAGCAATGGGACGCCAACTCGATGATAATTTAACGTTGGTAGTCCCTAGGTGGGCGGCCCACGGTCAACCCGGCACTCATAACTGCTGAGGGGAGGCTACCGGCCGAAGACCCAGCCATACCGCTCATATCTGCCATCAAGACGGAAATACAACGCATCAAGGAGACAGCCACTAAACCTAGTACCTTGCCAAAATGATGAATTTTTAATATTTAGCATTATCTAAAGATCAATTTATACCGTCGCTGAATAGAATGGAAGTTTCTATTTGCAACGAAACTGTTCTGTAGAAGTCAAAAAAAGGTTTTGCGACCATTAGGGATTCCTCTTGTATTTTTGGCAAAAAGATCATTTTCTAATCTATTCCGCGACAATGAAAATTGAGCCTTATACAATTAAGTGTAGGATAATTGAATAGTTGTATAATAAATAGCTATCTTGAGATAAGTCATTGGTTACTTACGTGAACTATTGGAAATAATAAAGCTTAGAATTTTCAAGAAGTAATGAATGAACTTTAATGAAAATAATGACTTGCAAATAATGGATACCTGTTTTCTGTATAGTCCCGAGTTTTTAACTTTTTTTAGGGGAACATCACCAAATTCTAATCTGCCCTAGGCCTCTTAGTGACAAAAATCCACCCTGTTCCTACTCCTGCTCTCCGAGGCCGAGGCCTCAGTATAAGCCTTAGCCAAAGGTCTGGATGTGATCGGGCAGTGAGCTACCATTGCTCGCCGTCCGCAGCTCACGGTTGCTGGAGATTGTCATGCGTTTACCAGCGCCCGGTCTCCTAATGTGGCGACTGGGGCATTAGGAGGATAGTTCCCTCAGGCGCTCCGTCTCCTTCATTGCGTCTTCCAGGCTTCCCAGTTCCTCTCGGTCATGGCCTCGACTAAGGCCGGGCGAGAGAGTCGCCGCGATCGAACACTTTCCCCTAAGGAAACAGCACCGGCACCGTTTTTGTCCCTCAGAGTCCTCATAATGAGCAGTTGTTTTCAAGTTTAAAAACATTATTTTTACCTAAGTGATAAGATCTGATAAGTATCGAATTGGTGTAAGTGCAATGAATATTATGTAATATTTAGAAGTATTATCAATAATCTCTTGTTTTCTTTAAGAATTTGTTTTCAAGATTGTTAAGCTGACTCATCAAAAGTATCAGCGATATAATTTACAAATACAAAACAAAATAGGTACTTGTTTTTCTTAACTTTTTTGATAACTCGTGTTTTGAATCTCAATTTTTATTGTTATAATTTTACAAATTGTTATCGTTAATTATTTTATTATATTTAAATCTAGTTAAATATTAACGATATTGATAATGTTTACTTAACATAAGTTTGTTGTATAGGTATAAAACTATGTTTGATGCCAATTATTATTGTAATCAACTTATCTACCTGAATTATTTAGTGAAGTTTATCTTTATAATAAACATTTTCAAAACATTTACTTTGCTAATTTATTTAATGTTACCTAAATAAATAAAAACCAGTTTTGGAAGTGCATGTTTATTTTGTACTTAAATTGCCATATAAAAATTTGTCAGTAATCTATAAAATATCACTAACATACATATTTACATATAATACACACAAATCGCCTAAACACTTTTTCAAATCTGAAACTGTAAAGTAATTGGAAAACCCAGCTCTTTGGCCACTTACAAATATTGAATATTAGTTTGTTAAAACTTAAAATCGTAAAATATTGTTTTTGGGTTCAAAATCTATTTTTAAACTTAGTCAACTATATATTATTACACGATCATCATAAAACAAAGAAATCCCTTTTAAATACATTAACATTAACACATAAAAACAGATCACACCATAATTTAGGAATCAAAACGGTTAACAAAATTCCGAAATCACGACACTTAGTATTCTTTTATTTCATATTTGAATTAAAACTGATCTAGCCTCTAGCAACCTGACCACTGGAAACCGTTGCCCAACTGCAGTAGTTTTCATACATTTTAATAATTAAATATATACAAGCGACAAAAAATCAATTCATAAAGTACTTCGAGGAAGTTCGTATAAAACGACAAAACTACAACTTCCCTCCAAAAGTAAACTTATTATACGCTCTATTATTCCGCGTGCTCCAAGTGAAAACGAGCGTCGCGCCCCTTGCGTTTAAAACTTAGTAGAGACAACTGGCTCACTTTCTTAATGGATGCGGACTGGGACCTTATTAATGTTGTTTTTGCAGAAGAATAAATATGAAGAAATAATTAATTGAATGAAATCAACTAGTCGACCGCGGTGTAGCGCAGCGTAGTGGCGACTGAAGTTGAGACTACTTTAAGACGATTGTAGTAGCATTTTTTGAGAGCGGAACATCATTAAATCGTTTCTCCACCCTGGACGGAGAGCGAGGGAGTGTTAGACTCATACTCAGTAAAATCCACCCGGTCCTTTCTTTTGTAGTAGCTTAAGGGCGCCCTCAAATAATCAAAATATGTCGATTGTGCTAAGTATGCCGCGCGGCGCTGTCGGTTCCGTGGTCAGGCTGCACCATACAAAGTATATTCACATCAGCCTTTAAGTAGTCCTTTATAAAGTAGTTTATTCCTAGATATTGTAGGAATGTTGATCAGAATGATCGTCACGCGTATTTCTTGGACACTGAGCACTTATCACTGTATGTAGAATAGTATTTTGTCCAAAATGAATGACGGCGAGACTCGGCACATTTCAGTGTGCCAGTCACTCGATCACCGAGTCGTCTTCCTCGCCCTCATCAGACGAATGCTATGCCGATTGGAGAGTTTGTTGCGGGGCTAACCGCCTCCACTGTGTGGGCTGCTCTTGGCCTTCATCATCCTGTAAAAACATGTTATACTTCTTATTGTCATATTTTGGTTACGAAATTTTTCAGCTCTTTGTGCCATTCTATTATACAGGGTTACTGGTAACGACGTATTCCTTTCAAGACATCATAGTAGGTTTAAAATGCAACAAGTTAAGCCACCAAATGTTCTACCGAAGTTCAGTAGTTTAAAGTTAGTAACATATTTGGATTTTTTTGTGAAAAAGCCCAGATTAAATTATTTGAAGCCAATTTGAAAATTATTCACGGGGCGATAATAAGTCTTTCATATGACCCCAGACGTTAAAAGTCTAGCGGCGTCAGATTAGGGCTTCGTGCAGGCCACGGAATCTATATTATTCTCCATTACAAAATCATGAATAGACTTAATTATTAAAAATACAAAAATTACCTGAATGATAGTTATTGACACAGTATCTGGTTTGATGTCTTGTAGCATCTTCTGGTCGTCGCTGAGTTGTTCCATATTCTCCATATTCCTGTAATGCCAGCGCATACAAAACAAATAAGTATAAAGTTCTAAGAACATTGTATATTTAAATTAACCTTTCAATATTGGACATTAGACACACAAAAGTAAGACAGTAGGTGCACGAAAAACATTCACTTTGGGTTTGATGATTTAAAGTAATTTATATGTTTATTTTAATCCCTTGACTCCCAATACGAGTCACAACAGGTAATACATTTTATCTCACTTATGCAAATTATTAAGGGAAGTATTATAAACTTACTTCCTGCTGCCAGAGTGGAATCGGCCGCCTTCACCTCGAATTCTGTTCATTGCATGCCTGTGTCGGGATTCATGTAAATATTTCTGTAAGTAAAAAATTTAAGGACATTATTATTCGTTAATTTAGGTAGGTAGTGTGACTTTTCACAGACAGTGTTTGTATTTCTTTTCACGGTTGTTTCCTATTGGATTGGAGTAAATTGATATAGTTGAAAACCACTTCATACTTTACTTTCTTCATGCATGCTCATCAATTTTGAATATTACTCAGAGTAAAGTAGATCCTACTTACATCCACACCATCAACATATATTTGTTGCATCATGCCTAGTGCTAAATCGTAATAGTAGTAAAGTTAAGTGCAAGCAGATTCATGCTTCAGCACGAAAGGGCCGGCTCACTCGGAGTGATGACACGGCCTCACAGAAAACCGGCTTCAAATAACACTTAAGTTGTGTTTCGCTGTGTGAGTAAGGTTACCGAAGGCCCAATCTTTCGTCCCCATGCTCAATCCTCAAATCCATAACAACCCACAAGAGGTCAGCGCAGCGACGCACTTGTATTAACTCTTTTGGTATTATGAGTGTCTATGGGCGGCACTGATTCCTTATTATCAGGTAATCCGAATGCTCGATTGCAGACCTACATAAAAAACGAGTAATATTCAATTGAACAATATATAATCACACATACAGGTCTTTCCTTAGGTATCTTGCCCTGTTCATGCAGCTTGGCTCTAGCGGCGCGTCGCTTGAGTATACGCTTGTACTGGCGTGCGTTGACGTATAGAAGTGGCTCTTCATCAGACCCGGCCGCTGAGGAGCATGCACCCTCTGACACAGACGTGCTTGCACCAGCATTACTGTTGTTTACCATCTATAATATAAAGAGTCATAATATTTAATTGACCAGACAGAAGTTGAAGAAGAATAGTTGAATTAATAATACATATATATATATATTTATTTCAGCTTTAAGCAATCTAGTATTCATAGATAAAAGATTTAATTTTACAATAGTGGTAATTCGAGACACAATAAAAGAACAGTAATTCACTCAGGGTTTGATGAATTAAAGATTCAAGATTTATTTTCAGCCGGGCCTGTCATTTGAATAAATTTCATTAAATTGCTACCTACCAATAATCCTACAGGGTTTGGCTGGTTGACGATCTGCTGTGCCTGCACTGCATTACTAAGTCCTGCAACTTGCACTAAATTACCATTCAGGTTGATCACTGAAACAAAACAAGGATATAATCAATTTAATTTTCTGAGCTAATCATTGCAGCATACAATACTAATGATGTTTTAAAATGGGTAATATACTTGGGGGTTGCTGTGTGCAGCAGTTAACTTTGTACCAGTTATTACTGTATACAAAATTGCTAGCGTAATTGATTCTTACAAGCAGTAATAACAAAAATAAAAGACCCAGAATCGGCCGAACTTCTTAGAAATTTTTTTAGACTACGATCAATATCTTAGCAAATTGAAAAACTGTCTGAAATCAAATAATACCTATCTTCCTTTTTCTTAAAATAGAATCTATACTAATATTATAAAGATGAAGAGTTGGTTTGTTTGAACGCGCTAATCTCTGGAACTACTGGTTCAAATTGGAATAACTATATTTTTTTTTTTGTTTGTTAGTCCATGTATCAAGTTAGGTTATAAAACATCATGCTATGATCTGTAGGACCAGAGTATCGGGTGAAACCGTGCGAGAGTAGCTAGTAATATATAAAATGGCAGAGTAAATGAATACTTTTATCCATTTCATCAATTCTAAAACAATTGAAAATATAACTTACTGGTAGGTTGATGTATAATCTGATGCTGGTCAATAGTAGGCTGGGCACTAGCTGCCACTGGCTGGTAAATAAATGTTTGTCCATCGGGAGTCTGGACCAATTGCATTGGCTGTATGTTGCCTCCTGCTGTAATATTAAATACAAAGTATTAATAATTACAAGGATCATCAGAAAATACAAGGTGTTAACAGCATTATTAACAGACTTCAAAAAGCTCAAGAGAATCTTTATTTTCAAGTTATTTCTTTGATTTTGCTTAATAGTTATCTTCATAGGATAGATCCCTCTTAGTAACCCAACATTTTAAATTTAATGTTCTAATGAATAAATAATTATATAATATTGTACCAACCTTGAATGCTAGATATAGGAACAACTTGTAACTGTTGTATCTGCTGACCACTTGGTGTAGCAACCTGAAATTATAAGACATTCGTTGAACAATACTGTCAAACACCACAGTGAATGTGCAATTGCTTGATAGATGAATAAGTTATACAATGATAAATAAAAAGATAGCAATTTTTGTTTGAAATAACTTAATTTTTGTTTTACCTGAAATAAGGCAAATTTTAGATTAAGTTACAGAATTCAATTTAATGACCATCTTAAATTCAAGTGAACCTAAGGCAGTAAATCTGTTACACCATCATAAATATTGCATTTAATTGCACATCTGTTTAATTTTAATTTTATAATGTACATCTATCTATACTGGATATTTGAATTTCAAATAAATAAGAATATAATATAATGATACTACTACCTGGATTTGTGGTGTCCCAATCTGATTGCATGTAGAGTTAAAAATATGATTTAAATGAGGATATCTCTTAAATTGTCACTTGGAGTATTCATTAGAAAATATTAATTACTTATTTTGTAGTAAAGTAGCTAAGTGACATTTTAAGAGCAATGAAGGATTTATGCAGGATATATCAAATCACAAGCAGAAAGGCATGTAGATTGAGATATGGAATGAGCGAGCAAGTTCATCAAAAAAATTAAATTAAATTACCTGTATGGCCGGCGCACTGGATGGCACAGCATGTACCACAATTTGTTGACCATTGGGGCCCTGTATCATATGTGGAGCATTGTTCATCTGTAAAACTTGGAGCTGCTGCCCATTCAACGTCATCACCTGGGCTCCATCCGAGCTCTGAATCTGAGCGTGTTCCATCATGGATCACACTAGAATTTATAATGGTTAATTTTGAATTAATTTAACAATTATTAAATTAACATCTTAAAATATCTGTTTCGTATATTAGAAAGTTACCTATAAAATACCACGGTGCCACAAATAAGAGCCGTCTAAAGCCAAAGTCCAGTGCAAAGTTGTAATCACGTTTTATAATATTACTTGTGATTCCAATAGAAATATGCGTCACACTTATTCTCTTAGAGATAAGAACGAAGGTTGCACGATAGTGATAATATTGCATGAGATTTGATCCGCATAATCACCTTGTCAGTAGAATATTGTAACTTTCTCTTTGTTGTTCAGATTTTTTACCACCTTCGACTTTTATTATGAATCCATTTCACAAGTCGAAAAGAAAAACCAAAATACACTTGAAGATGTGGAATTCCGTCAGGGAAACAAATACGTCACTGTTGCGAGGCCAAGGAATGCAACGTAACCAAAATGGCTGCTACTTTTCACGTAATTTCGTCAGACATAGTGGTAAAATTTACTTGAAATCTCATAGTTTTTCCGTATTTCCAAACAAATACCGGCACAGCCATCACAACAGAATATTCGGTGAAAATAAATTGTAAACTTACATTGGGTCCTCACTGGTTTTTCGATGATTGGTTGACAAAAGATAGACCAATGGCCGAAGTCAATGATCGCAAGAACGCAGTAGATTGGTTCGGCGCATTACCACTCCCAAGGAAGCTCGCTCCCCTGCGCTTCCTCAGCTGTCCAATCGTTCACGTAATTAACACATTGTCTATGGTTCAAATGAGCCTATCTCAGTTTATCAACAAAAATAAATCTGTACCTATCGTATTTCTTGAGACTACATTGCATACTCGGATTGCAAAATAATTATTTTAATTGAATTACCTTGGCCAGAAATATAATATAGTGAATAACATTATCAGGCAAAAATCACGCTTAAAAATTTCGAAACACGATTAGAACTTTATTCACTTCAAAAGAGTTAAAATGTCTAGTAAATAAGAACTTAAATGTAAACATGTAGATAAATAACACGATTTTGTACACAATTAATTAAATTAGCTTTCGTTATTGTGGTGATGTGATAAATCCCCCATGTATTATCTCCCTTTTATATTCTGTTCTATTTTATTATTTGGGAAACTAATGAATGAGTTTTTCACTGTTATTTTTAGATGGATATATTTTATAATAACAAATTCGTATTGCCTGTTGGTTGAAGTCCTAATAGCTTGATTCGTTAATATAAAAATATTTTTTGTCTTTGGAAACTTCTGTTAGATTTCTAAAACGTTCCAGTTACACGGTAACATAACAATTATAACTGCAATATATATTTATCTCTTTCAAACACATTAGTTAACCTTTTAGCAAAATCAAGTCATACATTTTTCATGCTTTACATTTAATTTTATGTTACGTCAAAGTCAAAATGAAATAGTTTATGGTTGCCATTTTGTTTTGCGAAAACGACGCTTGTGATTGTGAGAACTTGAGAGTTGAGTGAGATTACTATTAGAAAGTGATTTGTGAATGAATCTACGAATGTTAATATAAAGAACGCTAACATAAGATGAATTCGACAATATCTGATGATTTAACCCGTGAACATTTAACTTTTGAAGCAGTCAAGTGTTTAAGTAGGTTATGTTTTAAATATCGAAATTTGTCAGGTTTCAATTGTTTTTAATGACAAACTAAAATGTGTGGTTTTGCAGAAAATATATCTTCGAAAACACAAAAAGTGACATTGCTGCACAAGGAACTGTTGGAAATTAACTTATCAATAACTGCCTACATTGAGGAGAGTAAGAAACGACTTGCAAGGCTTCGTCTAGACTTGGCACACGACGCAAAAAATTCTCAAAAAGTCGTTGAAATATTATCTGATAACTGTAAGTGTCCTTATTTAACTTATTTCAATCCTCTGAGAAAACATAAACATTTGTTTACAAAAACTTAAGGCATGCTATCGTCACTTTAGCTACCAATCAGGGTAACTATAAAACATATAATGCTCAAATAATGGCTATGTCAAACATAATACACTGAAACTTGTATGTTGGATTGCAGTACCTCAATTTATTTGTATCAATATTCTAAAAAATAACATATTATTGTTGTGAGTAATAAACCCTATCCTAACTGTAATGTTTTTTTGTTTCAGAAAATGTCATCACCAGCAACACCTTGTAAACGCAAACTAATCTGTAACCAGTCTAAATTTAATAAAACCCTACCAGAAAACAATAACAATTCCAGTATTAAGTTTTCTGAACGTCAGCAGGCTCGGTCTTTCATAGCATGGTATAAACGCATGATCGACAATGAGCGATACAACTTAGCCCTATATCTATCTGATGATGCAATGCTCGAATGGTTTGGCCGAACAATTAAAACAAGAAAGAAAGTCACAGCTTTCCTAAAATATGATATGCAGTGTTCTCGTCATGATTTCACAACTGTTGAAAGCATAGACAAGATCCAAACTAGACAAGAAACTGTACAAAGGTTTGTTATTTTCTAAAAGTCAATTAAAAGTAGTAGTTTTATTTTTTGTTTTCTTTTGTTACTAATAAACCTGCTTACTACTCATTAACACTCCTCAAATACTTCCAATTTCTTTAAAGCTTTCATTCTAACATTTTCCAATTTTATTGCTATTGCAAAAAAGTAAGACAATTTGAAACACCTTATGATATAAATGAATATTATTTCAGAAAAAATGACTCAATCCTGGCTAGTCCACTCCATTCACCTGAAATTATCAGAAATAAAGAGAGATGTCACAAAAGAAGACTGCTTAGGTCTAACTGCAACAGTCCTGAATGGGCTGAGGGTTGCCAGCCTCAAGAAGAAATTAGCATAGACAATAACCAAAAGACTGACAACACTAGCTCTGATAAAGAAAAAGTTAAGGAAACAGATCACAACCCACTTAAAAGGTCATTCCCTGAAGATTCAGAAATAAGTAGCAAAGGTGATGGTATGCGTAAAGTAAAAAGAAAGTGTGTGTCGATCACACCTCCCAATCCAGAAGTGGGACAGGGTGACTGTCTACCCTCCACTAGTGGCACAGATTCTGATAGATCACATGATGCACTCAATGCTCAATTGCCTAAGTTAGCAGTAGAATGTAATGGTTACATAGAATTTACCAGAACAAGGAATAATCGAAGTGCTGAAGCCATGAAGTGGGAGAGGAAGTGTAAAGTACAAATTAGTTATTCTGAAGACCCCTTGAATGTTGGAGAGTACATTATTTGGGCATTACGGTACACAGATGAGAGTAAGTGCAGGAGAAACTTGCTTGCTGCTTTTGAGGAAGTTGCTAAAGAAGAAGCCTTAAAAAAAGTTTAAAAAAGTAATTTTACTGTCAAATTCCCTAAATAAGGAATGTTGCCAAGTTTGTAATAATTGTTATGAAATAGTTTTAATATTTGTTATTTTATGGTAAGGGAACTAGGGATCATTTTAGCAGTGAGAAGAGTTCCTGAGGCAATATTTTTAAACTAAATGAAAGTGATCCCTATTATCCTTGTAGCATGATAATTTTAAGCATACTATGCATGTTACTTTAATTGTACTTCATAAGTGAATTTGACAGTAAAATTTAGAAAGATGCAATTTTTACAACTTGAAAACCATGTGATATGAAGATATTGTATTTTTCTATGTTATAGCATTTATTTTTATGTATGTTTATGATACTGTAGTATACAATGTGACCAAGTTATACCTCTTGACATGAATTTGTACTCTTAGTGATAATTTTATAACATGTTTTGTTACTGTATTCTGTGACCAAAGTTATTAACACATCTAAGTTGCTTAAGTGAAAAGCCAATTCATTTAAGTTCTATTACTTGATTGTATTCCCTAAGTGCAATAGGTACTTTATGGACTAAAATAGGTTGAACAGTATTACAACAAATATACACATTCCTATTTGCACAATAAAAATATATTTTACATACTTTAAAATATTGTATTGGGCATACAGCTTTCTATTTTATCATTCTGATCCTTTTTTTTGATATTGTAATAATTTTACTTAACTTTTGTTTCGATTGGGACCATTTTTATCAGTAGTATAATTATGGTCATTAATTTGATTAATCATCTTAGATCTTAATCAATAGTTCTAGTAACTCAAACATACACTATCTCTGTCAATTCGTTTTCTTTTTACCACCGACTTCTAGCCTGTATTCAATAGGAATTGTCTATAATTACGAATGTTAGATTTTAGTACTAAACATAGTTTTACTCGAATCTTTTTGTTGAGGAAGTCGTATTTTATAAGGAATACGCTGCAATTCAATAGATGATTGATTCAGCGAATAGTTACAATTACAAGTTTGTATCGCGATATTATATTGATTTACCTAGGTGCAAAAATAACTTGTAACAGTGTAAAGTAAATTTAACTGTGCTGGTATTTGTATCTCAAGAAATGATCAAAATGTTTTTGATTCGTAAATCATGATGTTCTAGTTATTAGTTGTATGTTGCGCATTGCATCGCGTGGTATGATGAGACTTCAGACGATATAAGACTCTTTTTGCCTGTAAATTTTTCATGGAATTAAGTAGTCTTATCCCAGTCCATCGTTGTGGATTGCATCGCTTCGGCATCTGATTGTGTCCATTATCATTATATATTTTTAGGAGTTCGGCTTACAATATTGTAAACGAGATTGCCAATTTTCATTGTTAGTTTTAATTACTTTTAAGTTTTGTGTTGTTAATTCATTACTTGTGAAGTAATGGCGATGGGAATAATTTTGTTTCGATTATGATAGAGATGTATAATAAGGTAAATAAAACTTGTTTAGATATATTGATGTGGTTTTTTTCTTACATTAAAAGGTTTCACTGTATGTGAAACATGGTGTTATGTTTGACTTCAGAAATTATTTGTTCTGGTTAAAGGTAACTTTGACTTGTGTGTGATATTGCACTACTTGCGAGTTAGCAACTCTATCACAAGTCAGACGGTATGGTAAGATGGGCACTTATATTAACGGCAACGGTGTAACGAGGTGATTAGACAAAGGGGTGAATAAATACTAAGATTTACCTACCCAGTGAAACATACAGTTTGGTGTCATATTGAATAGGGATGGACTTCCGAATACAATGTGACTGGATGTATTAAATATCATTTAATAAATTAGCAATAAATAAAAATGGATATAACGCACCGGGCGTAGTGTACTGATAACACAGGTAAAATTATATCTTGTCTATTTGGGATACGCCGCCGTAGTGGCGGTAAGGCCCATTCTAGAGGAGTGGCTCAATAGTAGCCACGACGCCCTCAGCTTCTCGCTGACGCAGGTGCTTACCGGAAATAGTTGTTACGGGAAGTACTTGTGTCGCGTAGGTCGGGCCGGGAGTGCCCAGCTTGAGCCGACTGGCCGCTGTGCTGCGGGAAATCTCTCACTTCCGGCTGTAGTGTTTACTATTTATGGTCGGGAGTGAGTCAGCGTGGCGTGCTGTGCTACCTTTTGCAAGGCCGTGATGTTCGCAAAGGAAGTGGAGGCGCCGTGTTCCGCGCGCGCCTCTTAGTGGAGTCCTGTGTGTTGTTCGGAGTGACGGGGCTCACCTGATTATTTGGCGGGCCACTACCCGCCCCTCTGATACATGGGTTAATGGAGGAACACTGGGTTGGTTTTTATTCTCCTACACACACTACTACTACACTCATTAAGAGCCTGACAGTATCCTTCTCTTCCCTTTACCGAGGGTGGTTTCCAGAAGGGTATTCCAGCCAAATACAAAAATACTTGTCTATTTCATGATGGAAGCGATACTGTTACGTTACTAGGATCGTAATACACCTTTTTCCCATCCCAGTTAATATTGAAGAACATAAACAATACATTAAAGAATGAGGTACACGCCGCGTGTCGACCTGAATATTTCCGTAGTAAAGTTTACCTTACATATCTACCTATTATTATTTGGATAAATTACTTGTTACTGTCCAATATGTGGTCAATCTCAGCAATATTTACGTAGGTGTAAGATTTAGCTACAAAGCGAATAAAATGTAATAAAAGAACTGATAAAAAAGGAAAAATCTATACAATTTATTCCTCAACTATAAAAGACAATAATTACGAAAACAATACTAACATTATTCATAATAATACATGTATAATATAGGACAATATAATTTGGAACATGTTGTTTGACATTTAATTAATTAATTACTAGTATTGGATCAGTGTGCTAAGGATGCATATAAATTTGAATCAATAATGGATATGAATTGGAAAAAATTGAGCAAAATAATAAAATATACATGTCAGATCTTAATACACTTTTGTGGCACCATCATGGCATTTATTAACTAGCAAAATCCAACATCCATATACTAAACATAACTTGTGATTTACAAAATACATCTAAAATTACTTCTAATCGAGTATGAATTATGGCTTCATTTAAAATTGCACAAAAACTAAAATTATGAAGTTTAATCCATCCTTACCTTACATTGCATAAGATAATAGTTACTTAATAAAAATGAAATGAAATAGTATAATAAAATACACTCTTGGAACAATGACAGTAGAAAGGCATTCACTATCACCTGTTTGTATAAATGCAATCAGTTTAAATAATTAAATCATTAAAAATATTGATGAGGCAGTTTAGACACACCAACCATTTGTCATAAAGTATCAATAGGGATATCCTAAACTATCAATTCCAAATTTAAAACTCAAGTTACAACATTCTGAAATTCAGTAATACTTAAAAATGGAAACAAATGATAACATTATCAAATTGTAGAAATTAATTATTATCATCATAGCCATTACAGGGCACAGTGATTTGTTGTTATCAATCAATTTAACCTAATTATTAAATCTAAGGCATATACTTGAAATCACATTAAAATTCCATTTCTAACCATATCAATAACAATGTACCAAAAGAAAAAATATTTCTACATTATTTGCATGGCATTTATAGCAGATAATTCATATAATTGCTTGGAAATACGAGTCAAGTTTCATAAGAACTTTCAAGTAATACAAGTTGTTCTGTATGTACACTACTTAGCTTACAGCCTTTCTACTATCAGCCTCATACTTTGTCCTCTTGGTAATTGATTATCACACCACCACACCACCGAATAAAAGCTAACTAAACTACAACTTATTGTAACTGAGGATCAAAATCATTGCCATCATTCAAGGCATTTGTGTCTTCTATTTCTTCTTTAGCGTCATTGTTCTCCAAGACTGGTTCATTTATAGGGTTGTGAGCACTTAGGGCTGGACTTATTTTCGGAGGCTGAGCAGCTGGAGTCACCTTGGACACTACAGATGAATTAGCAGCACTTTTTGTGGTCAATGCTAATTTCAACCTTTCTATCTCTTTCTCTAGCTCGTCAATCTTCTGCTTTCTTTCAGCTAACTGTGTTGTCAGCGTGTCCTTCTCCAGTCGCAAAGTTTCTACAATAGCTGTCTTGCTCACTTGCAGGTTTTTCAATGATTGTAACTCTGTCTTGCACAGTTCCACGTCTACCTTCGTGTGGTTAACTTGTCCTTCAGATTTCGTAAGCTTATTCTTGAAGTCTTCAACATCATCAGCCAATTTAGACTTTTGTTTATCTAATTCGTTCACTTTGACCACATAGCTATCGCGTTGTTCGAGTAAAGTTAATGACTCCTCCATGCAAGATGTCTGTTGCTTGGAGCATTCTTGAAGTTGTGTACTTATTTCTGAAACTCTGTTTCGCAATTCATTTTCCGCACTCCAGCTATTAAATAGTGAAAGTAACAATAAAATACACACAGCAAACACAATATACATAGGCCAGCGACGCATGTTTTCTATGCCCATGTTACTTTAACAATATAAAATGTAGTTTGTGTGAATGAAACAAAATTGGATAAAGTTAACAAATAATTTAACAAGTTTTTTCAGTTTACTTCGACAATTAATAGCGTAAAATATTTGACTTTGACAGATCTTTAAGTCTTTAAGTTGCAGTGACACTTCTCTTAGTTCTTTTTTTTTTCATTTGTTTGGTGCACAGTTGCAAAATGCAACTGGATGCAAAGTTATGGCATTGAACACGTCAGAAATGTTTTATTTATAAATAATATTAAACAATAAAATATAGTCTTAAAGACTAAATGAGTAAGAAACAAGCATTTGCTTACAAGTATTTGATTTCGTGAAAATAGACAGAAAAACAATTTCTCAAATGATTTTTATTTGCGGTTGGCCAAAATAAGAATTCTTCATTTATCATTCATTTAAATTCTCTTGATAATATTTCTCATCTCTTTATTTCAGTTACTATAGAAGTAATAGGTCTGTATTTTATTAAAATTTGTCTTAAGGTTCTAAAAAAAATATTGAACGTTATCTGTGAACTGGCAACTTGGTCACGTGACCTGCTCTTGTTGCCCATAGACAGCAATCCTTCATCGACTTCTTTGGTTTATAGCCACGAGGTTTTTAGAATTATTTCAATTTATTAGTGAAATAATAAAAAGATACTTCAATTTATTCGAACAAAATGCCGCCTAGTAATCCTTTGCCACCCAAAGAAAATGCGCTTTTTAAAAGAATTTTGGTAAGTTAGATTGTAAACACAATTCGGTTTGGTGGTGCTTGTCATTCTTAGCGATTATATTCAATTTATAAAATAATGCAAATCATATTAAATACCGTTTTATAGGTTTTCTTGCATTTCAATCTTCTGTTAAATGATGTACGGTGACAATATAATTCTGTGTAATTTATTTACATCAATACACCAGCCTATAAATTATTCTGGCCTAGGACCCACTTCAGTGCATCTAATAATAGAGGTTAAACACTTAATGATAACTACATTATTATCTTTCAGCGCTGTTACGAACATAAACAATACAAAAATGGGTTGAAGTTTGCCAAGCAAATATTGTCTAACCCTAAATTCGCAGAGCATGGAGGTATGTTTCCAAACCAATAAAAATCATAATAATTGAGTGACACAAAACTGTGAATGTTGGATTAGGATTTTTATTTAATAAATACATAAATGTTTTCACACGTAATTGAATGGTGTGTTTATTAAAAATTGATATTGAAGAAAAGCAGCATTATCTTTGATAAATTTCAACCACATCCTCTTTGCTGGAGTTTTGAATTTGTGGTATTGTTTTCATAACATAAGCCTGTAACTGTTTACTCTTTCTGCATTTTACATTAGTGCTTGTGTTCATACATATTATTTGATTTACTGAACCTTTATATGCTTGAAGCAAAAAATAATATAATTTAATCAATAGGTATGCTTTGTAAATAGTAAAACTTCACAAAGATCTCATAGAATTAATTAATATTTTTCAGAAACATTGGCTATGAAAGGACTAACTCTGAACTGCCTGGGTCGCAAAGATGAAGCTTATGAGTATGTACGCAGAGGACTCCGCAATGACCTCAAGTCTCCGGTGTGCTGGCATGTGTACGGTTTGCTCCAGCGTTCTGACAAGAAGTATGATGAAGCTATCAAATGTTACCGAAATGCTCTCAAGTGGGAGAAGGAGAACATTCAGATTCTCCGTGACTTGTCATTGTTACAAATTCAAATGCGTGACTTGGAAGGGTACAAAGTGAGTTAAAATTGTTTTTATTGAATTTGTAGTGAGATAATTGATAGAAAGGTGGTTAGTGTTATTGTAGAATATTTGCACCGTTGGGACATGACATATTATTCAATATCTATATTAGTAAGTATTTATAAAGTACACTATTCAGTAGGTTTGGTTATGAATGAAGTATTTGAGATTTTGAACATCACTAATGATTTTTTTATAATGATTAATATATCTGGACACTTATAGAAATAGCTATCATTGAGCATGAATTGAAGCTTAGCAGTCAGTGTTTATAAAAACCTAATAATGTTATTCCAAATCATCATCCTATGATTAGCCATTGCACTTGCGACAAAGTCAACTTTATGACCACCATAGTTATACATATTCCATGATTTTCTTTTCTGATATCATAATTTGCAGTCATTATTATGTCATTTGGTTTTTGCCTGTTTACGTTTCACTCACTTAACAGCAAACTGTAACTAATGTTTACAGACAATCATGATATTCTTTCTTTACTACATTGATTTTAACAGTAGATTAATTTTGACAATGATTAATATAATACTGGCCAGTACTGCAGAATGGCAATTTCATAGGTAAAGCCCTATTATATAATTTTGTGAATTAATAATATTGGTTTTGTATATCAGCTAGGAAATTGAAAGCTCCACAAGTAATCTTAATTAATTTCATTCATCCTTAGAACAAGACATGCATTAATTACAGCCATGTCTAAGCCAGTTGGTGATGTTCAGATTCTCATTAGACAAGGTCTTATTGGTTCTTGTAATTCTTAGTAATAGGATATGTTTAGCTGTAGTGGCTGTACTCATATTTAATTGTTGTTTACACCCAAATGGGTTTATTGTTTTAAAATTCATTACTCCTTTGGGCAATAAGCACATTTTTACAAGATAAATTAATAACTGGTTTTATTCCAAAATCTCTGATTACCTCTGGTTGTGATGAAATCTCATCTAAAACTGTGAAAATGAAAGTGTAGAAAACTCAGTCAGCTGTCAGATATTCCTTGAAAGAAATCAAATGTTGGACGACAGATAGTGTGTGTAAAAATACAATGGAAATTGGTCTATGACAATGACAGACCATACTTTTTTGGATTGAATGATTGATCTTCATACACACATCATGCATTGAGATAGGGCAATAATTTCGGATGTAAATGTATCAAAAATAATCCAGCCACTGACTGCAATGAACTTCATAATTAGACTCAAAAAATTATACTTCAATTTTATTTCATACTCATAATTATATTTTCTGCATGTATTTACATGCATAATGTATATTCCACTCCAACACTGTGCTAAATTGAGCTTATTATTAGGAAAATTTCACTGATTGTTACCCTTACTTTTTCAGGATACCCGTTACCAGTTGTTCATGCTCAGACCTACACAGAGAGCGTCCTGGATTGGTTTCGCGATGAGCTACCATCTGCTTGGTGACTATGAGATGGCAATCAGCATCTTAGATGCTTTCCGTACAAATCAGATGAAGGGAACTGATGATTATGAGCATTCAGAACTGCTGTTGTACCAGAATATGGTGCTTGCGGAGTCTGGACAGTATGAAAGGGCTTTGCAGCATTTACAAAAGTTCTCATCTCAAATCCTTGATAAGTTATCTATTAAGGAAACCTCTGGCGAATATTATTTGAAGTTGAAGAGGTATGCTATATTTAATTTCTGTTTTACAATATTATGAATATTTTGATATCGTAATTGTGTAAATCCTGTCTTTTTCTTTGCTCCATGGTAAACCTGTTCAAATGGGAAATTCATTGTTTTGTTTACTAGTAAACTTTTGTGTAGATTAGATTAGTAGATTTATGACTAGTCATAAGTGTGTATGTTGGCGTCCTTTGCGCGTCATTTAATACGTTTATACCCATCGAAATCCTTTTGTTTGCAAGACATCATTATGCGACTGTGTCATGTATTAGGGACAGGATTATCTAAATGTAATTAGTAGTGCAGTTATCGTGTATCGTCGTGAGCCTTACAAATAGAAAATTGATTGTTACTTCACTGTTTTCAGATTTAAGGAGGCAGAATCAGTTTATGAAGACTTACTCAAGAGAAACCCTGAAAATGTGATGTATTATCAAAAGTTAATAGAAGCTAAACAACTTGTTGATCCTGATGAAAAAGTGGCCTTCTTTGAAGTTTATAAGTGAGTTTTGTTCTTGATTCCAACATAATAATTTCACAACTTTAGTTATTTTAAAACCGTGTTAGACAGGTTTGCAACAATACCTGTGCTTAATTTGTTAAAAATAACGACTATCTAAATTAACTAAGAAAAGCTCTAATAGTTTCAAGTCACAACGGGACTCTTATTTATGAGCAGCGTGCGCGTCGCGTCGACGTCGCGCACCCGACTAAAGCTTTTCTTAGTTAGTTCTCGTGAATAAGTCGCTATTTTCAATTAAATTCAGCATTATTTATTATGTTTTCGGCTAACTCACGTAATAATTTGACGAGATACTCGACTAGTTTCAAGCCATGCTAGAGGCCCATATTCATGAGCAGCATTCCGCGACACGCGACTCGGCGACTGTCGATACTGTTTTCAAAACAAAAATACTCGTGCTTATTAGACGTTTAAGGAACAGGGTGCGATGATCACTAGTGTCGGAAAATGGAGGATGCTGCCCCCTAATTATACTATATTGGGAAATTCTTTTATTGACGCGGGTATTGATGCAAAAATATTTTATTTAAATATCTTGGAAGGCTTAATATCCGCGTTAATTATGTTAACATTCAACGCGAAAATTTAAAAGTCAGTAATTTTATTTAAGCTAGTTCAAGCAATTCGTTGCATTATTAGTTGGTTTTTATCGTTCATCCTGCCTTCGTATGTAGACGTCACCGGCGCAGTTAAGCCGCTAAAAAGCACGCAGTTTCAGTATGACTTGAAGCTGGTAGAGCTATTTCGAATTTTAATTTAAAACTCCAATATTACGTCTGGGATTGAAGTTGCAAGCGCGATAATGTACAGATGCCCGTTTCTGAGCCGGAGAAGGAATGTGGTGGTTTTTAGTCAGTAAGATTCTGACTGTCCCAGTCGCCAGAGAAATCATTGGTTGATACTCCCCCCCCCCTCAAAACAACAATTTAATCCATATATAATAGGGCATTTTATGTATGAGCACTATCGCACATAATGCTACATTAAGTGCATAAATATATTTGCCGGCCTACTTACATTATGTGCGACAGATCGATAATGATACTGCTAATAGACTTAATGAAACTAATTTTGTTTCTGTTTAGTGTTTACGCTCTCTGCTCTAATGTGGTACAAGGCCTAGTTTATCTTATTAAGCTTATTTTATTCATATGTCGATCTTATTAAGATATTCTCAGGACCATGAAAAAATTGCGGTTGTCTCATACTACATCAGACACAAAAAATTTCTTTCATGAAACTCACTTACGTACGGCTTCTATATCTATAGATAGCTCTTCAAAAACTATTGGGAGTTTTCTAAAGGGAATATTTTGCGCGCGATAAACTGCCAAAGTGGCGAAATAGGATGGACGATATCTACTTGTACTTGGCCTCCCCATTCGTCAGCTAAAAAGGGTCTAGTAATACTAAGTTTCAGTCTAGAAATGAATCTTCAGACAACATTAGTTTGAATGTAATTTATGATAATGCTTTCATCTTCACATATACCATAATGTACAGCAAAAATATTATAAACTAAATATTTTTTTACGTTTTCAGGAAAGAATTTCCCAGAGCGATAGCGCCGCGTCGGCTACAGTTGACCGAGGCGCTTGCGCAGCCTGTGTTCGAGAAACTAGTTGATGAGTACCTTAGGCATGGACTACATAAAGGAATACCCCCGCTATTTGTTGATCTCAGGTATTATTACTTTGTATTTAAATGCTATTCTTAATCCATCAAACCCCAAATGGGGTTCTACTGTGTTTCGAATTACCACGATTGTTTAAGATATTTTTTTTCATTATTGAGAAATGCATATTTCTTAATTGTTTACTAATCTTGGGTGTTTTATCTGGTATAAAATATTATGCTGCTATACTGTTAAACTGTTATATCTAGAAGTCTCAAATAGTAATGTATAATGTTATAAAGGAAGATAGATTTGATTTTATTTGTGTAACTCTGGTTGGAACGCTACATTATCACTAGTATAAAAAAGACTATAAATATAAGCTATGCTGGTAAAACCTCGTAGTTAAGCTAGTCGTAAATCAAACTCATTATATTGCTGTTTTCTCAAACATACTTTAAATATTACAGGTCGTTATACGCAGTTGAAAACAAAGCAGAAACAATAGAGAAATTAATACTCCAATATTTGGAGAATCTTGCGAAAAATGGTACTTTTGGTCCGGACCCAAGTGAAGTGAAGCAGCCAGCTAGTGCATTATTGTGGGCGTATTACTACGCCGCGCAACACTTTGATTACAAGAAGGACACGGACAGGGCACTCCAATATATTGATGCAGCTATCGACCACACACCCACCCTCATAGAATTATTTATTGTTAAAGGAAGAATTTATAAGGTTAGTGTTTTTGTGTCTATAAAGTTGTCTTGTTTTATTCTATGTATGTATTACTGCCTCGCCGTCGTAATTTTTCTCATTGAATTAGTTTATTTTTGATTGCACGGTTGGTGCGGTGGCAGGGCACCTCGCTGCCGTGCAACGTGTCGCGGGTTCGATTCCCGCACGGAACAACTATTTGTGTGATCCACAAATTGTTGTTCCGGGTTTGGGTGTCATGTGCAACCACGACACAAGAAAAATACTACTGTGAAGCAACGTTTATAAAAAATATCGTATTTTTATTTAGGTACTACATATTAGAACTGATCAATAAAAATATACTATAAATATACACTGTCCAACGATGCTCGACTGGTTTCAAATCGTTTCGGGGTTCATAATCTTGAGTTTGGTGCACAGTGAATGATGTTCATCTTGTATGTTAGAACGTTGTATATTTTAGAATTGTTTATTGTTATTGACTGACAACAGATTACTGCCGAGGGCAAATCCACCGCCAGCGTGGCCCACATGTTGTCACGTATGGCATTCAATGTGTAATTAAGAACATCTCACTATAATTGTTACTAGCTTAGGTAATAGCAATACGATATTTATATTGGCAGCATGCTGGTGACCCAGTGTCGGCGTACCAGTGGTTGGAAGAAGCCCAGGCGATGGACACGGCGGACCGGTACGTGAACAGCAAGTGCGCCAGGTACATGCTGCGCGCCGGACACGTCAAGCGGGCTGAGGATATGTGCGCCAAGTTCACTAGAGAAGGTAATAACTATAATCAAGTTTTTTTTATATAATAGGTTGGCAAATGAGAAAACGGATTACCTGATGGAAAGCAATCAGCGCCGTCCATGGACACTCGCTACAACGGAAGAGTTACGAGTTGCCGACCTTTTTGGGTATTCGGATAAGGGATTTGGATATCTTGGAATTGGGAAGGGTTTGGGGGAGAGGAAGGATTGGGCCTCCGGTAACCTCACTTATAAAACGGTGTTTTTGTTTCATGCCGGTTTTCTGTGAGGCCGTGGTATCACTTCGGTCGGCCCGACCTATTCGTGCCTAGACTTGGCTCTCCCATACTACAAAATCTAAAATCTTCTAGTTTTAAAAGAATTAGGCAGCAAAGACGCATTTGGGTCGATGATTGATGTTAAGCAGTGGTAAAACAAGGCAAACGTTGTTTTAAGCTGGTTTTCTGAGGGTTCAGATAATATCATTCCAGTTGTGCATTTTTAATCGTGCCGACGCTTGCCACGTTCTTTACTGCCGACAGTTAACTGTTGGAGCCGAAAAACTGATGCATTTGACGCTTGAGTTGAATGAGTTGTTAGTATTCTAGCCCACTTATCATTTTACTATTACTGGGCCCAATAGCTAAATAGCCAATAGACAAAGCCGCATGCATGTTCTTTTGAAACATTATTCTCTTTATCATGTTTTACTCCAACCATCCAAAAATAGATTTGGTACCTAAAAATATTCTGAATTTCAATTACATATATGGATACCATTTTATTCATTAAAGAATGTATAAATAACAGTTAAATCGTTTCCAAACACATGATGCAAGGATAATATAAATAGTTAAATTGCTGATACCCATAAAATATTTGTTTCCTATTCCCAGGAGTCCCAGCGACAGAGAACCTGAACGAGATGCAGTGCATGTGGTTCCAGACGGAGGCGGCGGCCGCGTACAAGCGCCTGCAGCAGTGGGGAGAGGCACTCAAAAAGGCGCACGAAGTCGATAGGGTACGTTACATTTACTAATTATCCTGTATTTTTTCGAATCTAATACAAATTCTAATAAATTAGAAATTAATGATATAAATAGAACTATGAATGCACTAGATACAAGAGTACCACTATCTTAATTAAATGAGTAGTTTCTATCTATGATGCGGTCCGAATTTAAGCTGAAGTTGATGTAAAATATGTACTTATTAATTACAAATGGAATTATGATGAGAGAGCATTTACACAATGTGCAGTTGCACCATACTATATGTGTGTGTGATGTAGTCGTCCATGACTAATAAAAATGTAGAATTAATGTAAATAACTGTTAGTATATTGTTACCAATCTAAAATACTTTGTTAAATTTGAGTCTTAAACACTTCAAAAAACTTAGTTTCAATATATAATAACATGGTAAAATATTATTTCCAGCATTTCTCTGAGATAATGGAGGATCAGTTCGACTTCCATTCTTACTGCATGCGCAAGATGACGCTCCGGTCGTACGTAGGCTTGCTTCGGCTGGAGGACGTGTTGAGGGCGCATCCGTTCTACTTCCGCGCGGCGAAGGTCGCCGTCGAAGTCTACTTGAGGCTCGACCAGCATCCGCTGCAGGACGCGCCACAGACTGCTGAACCAGATACAGGTATGTGGTCGCTTCCTCTATTATTTCAAATCCTTGATCGTGATCCGTTTATGTGTGATTCGATGGCTTATAATGCATCCATCCATGGTCCTTTTTTTCGTGATAGAGTTTGGGTTTTTCTCATTATTGTACGGTTATTGCCATCATTTAGTTGTGATTAAAATAAAGTTACCGCATGTATTAGATAGCTGATTTGTGTTGAAAAGTTAGAAAACATACAAGGCGCAAAGGAGAATGGCGAGAATGGACCCACATGATTTAAAAATAAAAGAGGCGTCGTGTACCTCCAAGTCTATTTGAATTTAAAATAAGAGTTTAGTAAAAGATTACATAAAAAATATTAAGTTGCTAGCTCATGGGAATTAAAAGTTAGAAATAAATGAAATCTATTGAAAATATGTTATCATGCAGTTTACGAACGCATCGCGTGTCACCGATTGCATTCCAACGTTCATTATGTTAAACAATTTCATCCCCTACTTATGCTTTTGGACGGTTAAGTTTTGCAGTTATTTTATCTTTTTATACTTAAAACGTAAAATAAAAAACACAACAAAAGTGAATATACAAAAATACACATTTTAATAAATAAAACTAAACGCGAGAATATTTTACTTCTAACCTTTTTTGTGCGAACGTAAGTTGGAACGTTTACGTCTGACAGTGACGTATTAGGTATGTCATATTGTCATTCCATCGTTTGCTCTTACCGGTTGACTTGGGATTTGAATGCGATTTTGTGGATTATTTTTCGACGACTTGGCTTTATATTTTGGACTGACTCTTCTGCATAACGACCACCGTATTTATCTTTGGACTCCGATTTGCAAGTGATTTGGACTTATTTACCGTGCAAAATGCGTTGTGTTAATTGTCAATTACGCATTGCACGATTACGAAGACACCGTGTTTTCGATGAAAACGCTCAGCTAGTTGAGAAAGTGCGTAGATGGGTGTATCCACGTGATGTAAGTATCCTAAATGATAATTATGTACTTATTTACATTTGTCTGCAAGGAACGAGTAAAACCTACTTATTATGCGAGTATCTGATGCGAGGGTTCGACTGTAAGTTGGTGGCCTCAATTCAACTTTTACAGCTGTTTTCATGGTAGCAGCAGATCTACTGTTACTGCAACTATAGGAATATAGGAATATAGTTACCAATATCCTAAATGTAATGTACCTACATAAATAAGTAAATATTCCTTGTTAATAGAATTAAACCTATATCTAACAATCTTGATGTAAACGAGTAGTAGCATTAATTACAAACTTCAGTAGTTTATGAATGCTATGTATACCTATTAATGTTTTTTTTTTTAAATGGTAATTAATAATAATAAAAAACTATTGTCTTTAATTATTGCAACATATGTATGGTTAAACTAACACTCGTTTTATAATAAATAATAATAAAACGAATGTATAATTATATACCTGTTTACTTTTTTTTAGATAACTCACGACTGCTTTATTTGCCATTCCTGTTGGGAGTTGATAAATCACGAACCCAATCAAGATGTTACCCGTCAGCAACTTGGCCATCGAAATGTGTGTGCTGGATGTGGGAGATCCATATTGAGAATAAGAAGCAGATTGGTACTAAGACCAGAAATGTCTGAAAGAGAAACCCAAATAGCAAATGTAGTGGCTGAATGGATAAGACCCCGCCAGGTAAATAACAAAATCATCATATCATATAAGTACAATATTATATAATATGTTTTACTGAGACTGCACTGGCTGCAGCGCTGCATATTGTAGATTCAATTTCCACATGGAACAAATATTTTGTATTGATGGATCCACATCACAGTTACTCTGTAGCTCAAAATGTACAAATGTTACTCTGTAACATCTGCCAACTAAAACTTATTTAATGTTACTAAGTGTTGACTTGTTACTGTAAGTCGAGTAACATTGTTTGATGATCAGTAACACTTAGATAATGTGGGAGCCAATATGTTTATTTTTATGTTTTTACATTTGTAATTTTCATTGTTTCAGTTAACTAATAATGATGAGATTTGTGTACCTTGCTATCTACGAGCGCAAAGAGTATTGGGTAGCTCTCAGAGAAGTTCTACCCTTGTTCCTCCTTCCACATTTCGTCAAAGTGATACACAGCCAGAACAACAAACAGAAGTTGTTCCATCGACATCTGGAAATCTCATCGATGAAACATCTGCTGAGCAAATATTGCCAGCTACATTTACAGATGACACTGCAGAAGATGATGAGGTTAGCCTGCACATTACAAGTCCTCCATTGCAGGTAACTAGTGCTGAACAAATCACTTTACCTACGTTAAGAAGAGCAGCAGACACTGCACGTCGTTGCCTGTTTTTGGAGTGCAATGATAGTGAAAAACGACGTGTGCCTGATGGGCTAAGGAAGCAAATTATTAAGGATTTTAATTTTTATATTCCAAGAAATGCCAGAAGTTGCACATTTCATTTAGGTGCCAATTTGTTTCATGAATTATATGCTGCTGAAAATGCCTTATCAACGTTTAGTGCAGCACATATAGAAGAAATAGTATTTTTGCTAGCAGAAGAAACTCAATTAGATTTCCAAAATCCAGAAAATATTGATGATCATCTTTTTAAGTATTGGTTTGGACGGACAAAGGCTGAATTTAATGAAGTTCTAGTAGAAGTACCTCAATTAAATGATGCAAAAATGAAAAACGGTTTTAGTGCACTTCTGTGTAAAATGCGGACTGGAGATAGCGATGAGAGAATCTCGACACTATTTAAAATTCCAAGAAGGACTCTCGAGGATCATATGAATAAAGCACGAGGCATCTTGTGCCAGTACTACGTGCCTCGGCATTTGGGATGGGCTCACAAACCCAGACAAGAATTTGTGGCAAGAAATACTGCTCTGGCTGAACACCTTTTTGGAAATCCAGAAACGCCCAGTGAAGAAAGGCGTTTAATTGCAATTGCTGATGGAACTTATTTAAGTAACCAAAAAAGTAGCAACTACTCCTTTCAAAAAGCAACTTATTCTCTTCACAAGTATTACAACCTAGTGAAACCTTTTTTAATAGTTTGCTGCGATGGGTATATTATAGAGGCCATGGGACCATATCCAGCTACGAAAAATGATGCCTCCATAATGAATGACATTATGTCTGAGGGAGGTGCCTTTACACACTTATTTAGAGAGGATGATGTTTTTATTTTAGACCGTGGGTTTAGAGACTGTGCAGATAACATGACAGACAAAGGTTTTTTTATACATATGCCTGAAACTATTTCGACAGGGGAAAGGCAACTTTCGACTCTCCAAGCCAATATTTCAAGATGTGTTACCATGAATAGATGGGTGGTTGAAGCTGTTAATGGAAGGTTTAGTAGAGATTTTAAAATATTCCGTGAAGTTTATTTAAATAAAAGATGTCCTCATATTATGGAAGATTTTCGAATTGCTGCTGCATTTTTGAATCATTTTGCTGTTCAGTTCAGGGAAAGAGCTAATGTACGTGAAATTATCGAAATAATAGATGCAAAAATATTTGAAGACAATGAACTCTGTGAAGTTGTACAACAACATAATTTAAATATGAGATCCACACTTTTTCAAAGTATCTCACATACAAATATAGAATTCCCTGAATTGACCATAAATGACTTAGAACTAATTGCTCTAGGCACATATCAAATAAGGCAAGCAAAATCATATGTTGGGGAACATCTAAGAGTCCACGGAATGTACACACTAGAAGTTTGCCAAGATAATGCACCTCTTCAAGGGATATTTAATGACAGCCAGCCATCTATTATACGTGGCAGAATTAAATCTAGGCATATAGGAAGTAAGTCCTACTTTACATATATTGCAGTTAATAGAAGGCTAGAGGGGCGAAGTGCCATAGTAGGTTATTATTGCCATTGCCCTGTAGGAACACGAACAGTAGGCTGTTGCTCTCATGTTATGAGCATATTATGGTACATGGGTTATGCCAGACACCAGGAATCTATTTCTGCACCAGCTACATTTTTAGACAATCTTTTAGTAGGGTAAATAATGTTTTAAAGATTGTCTAAAAATGAAGAAGGTTCAAAGAAACATAGCTTTATGGTATGTGAAAATACAAATTATAAAAGTATTGATAAATACATCAGTTACTATGTTGTGATAATAAAGTAAATAAAGATTTTTTTAATAATGGACATTCTTTTGTTTTTGTTAGTGTAAGTAACGCCTACCTATTTAACTTATCATTGTTTTTAGGTTTTTACCCACAACATGAGTTCCTCTACTTTTACTAGCGGTCTTAGACAAAGGACTTTTCTGTTAGCGTTCCTAACAAACACTAAGTATTAGATGACAATGTTAATTATGCATTACCGTCAGGAATAGGGCGCCATAGTTAGGTTGAACCCAAATGACCGACGTTGCTATGGTTACGCACAGCCCCTGCTGTTTGCTGTTTCGCTGACTCAAAAATCTTTTACATTGAAAGTCGGTCGCTGTTTTGGTGCAATTTATGCCATCTGTCACTTGTGGCTAGACAGGTAATGTCATTATCATACATTTTGTACTTGGCGTTTCGCGGGAACGCTAACGGAATAGTCTTATACCTGCTTCGATTAATCTAATCTGTGCTTAGACATAATACATCTATAGATTTAGCCAGGTTACCATAGTTACCATGTTCCTAGTTCACAGATAATTTTAACTTTTAGATTTTTAGGTTATAGTCTTCTAACTTGTATAACTTTTTTCTCCCAACTTTTACAGTTGACTGTCCATTTGCATTTTTGCTAGTTTTCTATAGTTCTATAACTAGTACTAAATTTTAATAATGTATGATTCTAATATCAATGGGTCCCAACTTACATAGAAGCTCGCCATTCTTCTTTATCCCCTCTGTGTCAAATTTTGGGTGTTGTTCATTCGGAGAGTTATAACATACTTACAGGCACATTTGGAACATTAAAATAGAATTGTCCGTTATTTAGGCTCGGTGCTAGTTCTAAAATGTAAAATTAATTATATTTATTAATGCTTACCCCTATGGGGACTAGAGTAACTATCCTGCTTTTAGACTAGTTTTTTTAGTATTGATAGGTTAAAAAAGACATTATATTGATTAGTTTATTACTAGAATTGAAAGTGCTGTCCTACCATATCCAAATCAGGATATACATCACTTTCATATAGAAAGTTTACAAATAGTCAAATTCAGAACTCTTTTTAAATAAAAAAAGACTATATTATATATAAATTGTGCCGTCATAATATTTTTCGACTAATAGGTATAATGATTTTATTCAAAAATTGCAAAATTACGCTAAAGAGACATTCAACCATCGAGACTATCTTTATTTTCTGATACTTTAATTAGTTTTGTATGGTAAAAAAGGCAAATGTTTCATTATGTCAAGAAAACAATATAACCATAGTACTTTCGAAACGTAATAATATATTAATACCTCGTTAGTGTATATCCACAAGTCACAAGAGTCACAATCATTTATTTCAATTAGACCCTTATAGGCGCTTTTGAACATCAAACAACGTTAAAGATCCAAAGTGTCAGTCCTCTTAGTGAAGCTATTAATTATTAATGACAGAGTTATCATTCCTGTATAATTATTGAACAATTTTGTGTAACAATACTAACATTACTTACAACTTATCGCATTTCCAAGTACGCTTTGTTTATTACACCACAATGCTAGTAGCTTATAAATTAGTTTAGAAAAGTCATGTAACTTGTATAACAAGTAAATCATATTGATTGATACTTGAATTTATAAACACAAATGCGCCTTTTGTTACGCCTGTCGCCTATCGAGGCCTATTATTATGTATTATTATTACATAACGTTAAATTCGAAATACAAAAATTTGTATAGCTATACGAACTAGTCCTCCTGCATAAGTGCATACCCTTTAAATTTCTGTGGGCGCCACTGTTGCCTACATTTTATTAATCTAGCTGATTTAGTTGCGTCTATTTTATAATAAATAATTAAAGTTGTAAAGTGTGATATCGCAGAGAAAGTGACCAGTGACCTTGCAAACTTGTCAGGTCAAGTTGTAAATAGTTTTTGTGATACACATTACTTGGTAACTCGGTTATTGTTCTAAGTGGCCACTTCTCGCCCCTGACTCACTTACTGCCCAATGGTTCAAACATAAAAATACTTGACTGATATACCTATTTATAACTGTTCTCTACTTTATGTCATCAAAAAGGTTTGATTGTCAATTATTCTACTATTAGGTATTATGTACTGGAACTTATGCAGGTCACCAGGGAAAGGAAACAAAAACACGATTTAAAATAACATTTTGTATTATTTTATTTCAAATTCTTTGTTTAAAAAATACAATACAAAATCACATTGATTCGTCGTCAATTCTTTAAATAACAATTTATACAATTAACAATTGCTGCCATTATTACACGAAATAACAATGCCACAATCATCGACACACACATATCACATCATTCCTTATAGTTCGTTGAATACTGTCATAAATAAATTAACTATCATTATGCATGCACCACAGTCTCTTAGAAAATAATTTAATAAATAACGTATTAAAAGTATAGCGTCCATGTTTCACAATATCGCTGCTGAGAACAGATCTCACATAATGCTAACGTAAAACTCGCTGTTTAAATATTATGGCAACGCGGGCCATCCCGCTAGTCTCTCGTACTTACACTACTTAGGACACTTTAACATCACATTTGCGCTTTTATTTACACGGCACGTCGCGTGCGACGCTGACAGTTCAGACTAGAGCTTTGGTTTTACCGGCCGTAGCCCGGCGAGCGGTACCGGTCCCGCGCGGCCTGCGCCGCCTGCGGCGTCAGGAAGTACACGTGTGCGCCCTCGCCGGGCAGGCGGTACGACACGAACGAGCCGGGCCGGCCCTCGCCCGCCGAGTTGACGGGGCCTATCCACTCCGCGTCGGGGTTCACCGGTGGCAACGGCCTTTTGTAGTTGACAGCCGTGTCGCCCGCCAGCGAAGGCCTGTTCAAGTCGTACTGCTCGCCTGTGAACTGAGGCCTCTGCACCTGCGTCGGCGCTCTGTACTGCTGTGCTGTCCTGTAGCCGGGGTTGGCAATTGGAATGAACTCGCTGTCTGGGTTAATCGTTGGACGTGGGAAACGATCATTGACTAACGTGTCGTCTGCCAGCGAGGGTGGCTTCTGCTGCACTAGATCTGCGTTAACCTGTGGCACCGGTTCACTATCTGGATTGACTGTGGGTCTCGGTAGTCTGTAGTTGACAAGAGTATCTCGGTCCAAAGCCGGCGGGTTAGGGCTTTGGTTTTCTACTAACTCGTACGCATACTGGAGGTTTATATTGTTGTTGATCGGCGTCCTGACCGTGTCGAGCGGTGCTGTCACGGCTAATCCGTTTACATCGTGTGTGTTGTCTTCTAGTTTCTTACCGAAGACATCAAACGAATTTTTTGTTATGTCATCAAAGTAAGTCTCGTCCTGTTTCGTGTAATATCCTTGGCTAACCGGGTTTGGCGTTGTGTTCGGATACCTAGTTACATGCCGCACATGCGCGGGCTGATCGCCTTGAATTTGGTTACGATTTTTCTTATCTTTTGAGAAAGCAGCGTCTTCATAGTCGTCGTCTTGAGTTTTCGTGGTGGGATAATACCGGCTAGAGGTGGGCGATTCTGTCGTCACTTGCACGTTTTCCACCAAGTATTGTTGGTACCCAGGTGATGCTGACGGCGTTATAGCGTTGAAATCATTGGCTAGATTAAAAGGTTTGCTGTAGCTGACCATAGGCCTGAACGGTTCAGGATCCAATTTAGGCGCTCGGAAGGGCAGCTGTTCAGGCCTGGGCTGAGATTGGTAGCTAAACTGATATACTGGCCTTCCCGTAATAGCCTTAGGTTTGTGTGTGTGCGGCCTGTGGGAGTGAGCTTTGGGTCTCTTCGTCGTGAAGAAATCAATAGTTTGTTGTATGTCAGCGATCTGTTGATAGAAAGCATCCGGCCTCTGTTTTTGCTGCTGGACGTAGACAGGCTGTGGTCTTGGTTTCTGTATACTGAAATATTCCTGTGTGAGAGTTCGTGGACCCTGCTTCTGTGGCCAAAGGAACAACGCATCGGCTTGATCTATAGCTCCGTAAGAAATATCCACTGCTGGGTTGAAGCCAGTCTGTGTGTTGATATTCTGTTGTTGAGGGTAAGGAGTTGGGTTCACTGGTACTGTCTTGTAGTAATTTCTGCCATCGAAATATGTAGCTGGGGAAGGTGTCGTTTTTGGCTGTTCATCATAGAAGTAGAACGATGCGAATGCATTTTCGTTTGGTTTCCTGTTGTTATAGACAGGTTGTAGTTTTGTAGTTGGCACATCGCTGTGTACATTTGAATAATGTGCTCTTAGCGGTATTTGCGTGGAGGATATCTCGTTCGTAGTGACCGCTGGTGTTCTCTGTGGCACGTCATATAAAATGTAGGGTTTCTCCGATGTCGTTGGTACTTTATTGTCGTAAACGGGTTCTGGATAGTCGTAAATAACAGACACAGAGAGAGGTTTCGATGTAACCTTGGTTCGCGTTTTATAAATAGGTTTCTCGGTTTTCGTTCTCGTTGTGTGTTCCTCTGGCAAGTTTTGAATCCTCACAGGATGTCTCGACGGTATACGCTGTGGTTTTCTCGTCTTCAATGTTGTAATGATATCGACTGGCGGGGTCGTAATTGTGGATGGTATCTCAGTCGTCCTTGGCGCCTCAGTTGTGGTGGTAGGTCGCGTCTTGTACTTGGTACGTTGCACCGCGTGCGTTGTGGGCGGTCGCGTCGTAGTCTTTGTCCTTGTGTATGTATTCACTGTAGTTGGTCTAGCAGTGGTAGTCTTAACAGCCTCTGTCGTATTTTCCTCCAACGGAGCAAAGAAATCTGGAGGAGGCGGCAATACTATTCCAGGTACTAGTGGGCCAGCAGGCACTTTATTGTTGTAGTCAGCGCGGTAGGAAAAATTGTAGGGCGGCGGATAGTAAATCGAAGGGTCGTCTTCGTCGTAAAGGTCTGTTTGGTTGCTCGGTGGTGGTAGAAACACTGCGCCCGGTGGAAAGCCTTCTGGAAAAGAGCCATTCATGGACGGGGGGAAGGGGAATGCTCCTTCGCTCGCATTCCCGGGTAGGAATGGGAACGGAGGACCTGGCTGCGGCGCTCCCCCGGTAGTAGTGTTTCCCTGATAATCACTCGCGGGGTAGGGCGCTCCCGATGGAAATAGGAATGGCGGAGGAGGTAGAGGGCCTTCGCCTTCTCCTGTAAAGAAGGAAGGGAAAAGGGACGCAGGGACACTGCCGTTTGGCGTGAGGAAAACGAGCGGTCCGTTGTCGGAGAGTCGTACCGGAAAGGGCGGTGGTACTTTGGGTTTCTGCGGTAACTTTACTTGCCTGTTAGGCGCTTGGTAATCGTCGATTGGTGGCCATGGTCTGCCTTCAGTCTCTTTAGTTCTTTCGGGGAATGCTCCTCCTTTTATTACTAGCAAATGATCCTCAGCGAGCCAAATTTCGTCTTTCTTAAGTCCACCGAGACTTTGAAGGTTATCTTTAGCTCTGGTTTCTGCGTTAGGTTCATAACTGACTATGCCAGGCCTCTTAGGATTCTTAGAAAATATTTCATTTTGTATTAGACCATATTTTCCTTCAGCCACCTGATCAGCTAACGTCTTCTTGTCTTCATCGACCTCTTTAGTCTTGGGTGCGTCTTTTCCTTCACCGGCGCTGGACATGAGCATGCCATCATCCCATATGCCTTGATTCCATCCCACGTTGCCGCCTGACTGGTCTGGCGCGGTCACGCCCGCGAATTTACCGCTACTAGTTTTCTCATTATAATTTAGTGAATTTTTAGCGGCCCCATATTCTTTTTCTGGCTTGATTTTGAGATGACCGCCAACTAGTCGCTTTATCGTTCTCTGTGATTCTGCGTGTTGAGTGTCGTGTGCGGGTGGTGCACCGAGGCTGCGCTGATCGCGCACAAACGAGTCAGGCGGCAGCACGTACGTGGGCACGAGCACGCTGCCGTGCGACGAGCACGCCCATGCCAGCGCCAGCAACAGCGCTATGGCCGCCCCTCTCACCATCTGAAAGTTTGGAAAACATCACTTCTTAGTTATATTGCACATAGATATACACTATCACACAACACGTTAATCCATAAACTTATCTAAGTCGGGCTTTCTTTGTTAATCGCGTAGTACACAACGTAGTCGTTCATGAGCGCGCAAAGTGAAAGGACCGAAGGAGACAAAAGCGGTGGCCATTGGCGGTGTTTGGGGCACTGGCGAGCCACGCGCCACCACCCGCCTTTTATTAACGTTTTGTAGAGCGACCACCTCCGACCCAGCTGGCATTGAGAATCAAGCGTTTAATTGGAAATTGAATGGCGAATTAACGGCCGCCGCGCGACAGGAAGGCCGCGAGGCCTAAATACGAAAAAATACAAAGTGTCGTGCTTAATTTCATAGTATTTGCGTATTGTTAAGTAGATATCAATCCGAAGCTTCATTGTTCTACAGAATCTGTGTAACCTCACCGGAGAAATGTTCATTAGCCTAGATTGTAACCACTAACGACAAAGAAATCTTCGAGAGTTTTGAAACAATGATCGGATAAGTTTTTCAATTTCAATCGGCACGAGCGCCGTAGCATAATCTTCTCGCCGCAGTCACGAAATTATATTCATACCTACAATTTTATCATTTGTAATGGCGTTTATTGAAAACAATGAAGAAGCGAATGCGGTCGCGGTGGCTGAGAAGTTACTACTACAACTTATTCCGTTTCAAAACTATAATGAGTTGATTGGGATAAAATAGTTGCGTTGGCCTGAACTATACCGTTTCGAATAATGGCAAAACTAGATATGGAATATTAGGGCAGTGAAGGCAAAGTCGCCCGTGGTGTCCGGCGGGCGTGGCCGGGCTCCGTGAAAGGCACGGTCACCCGACTCGATTTCGCCTTCGATAAAACACGAGCCCAACTTGCTTTGTAATTGTGCTAAACTATGCACCGAACCTGTACTAGCTCATAGACCGAGGGCGGGCACCGCGCGTCGTGCACTTACGCCTTGCAATGTTGCGCTCCATCGACGTTTTAATTGGTTTCGATTGTTCCGCCGCCGTCGGGAACCAATGATATTACTACAATAGGTCACCGAATCACATTGCTTACTTGCAATATACTTTGACTTATTAAACTTTCGGTTGCGTTTCATTTACAAGTTTGATTTTGACTATCGTCGTGAAAGAGGGGAACGACACTACTCATTAGCCACATGATTCATAATGAATAACCTTGATTCAGTTTATGTCCATTGGGTACGTTTAACCGGTGTCGCGCGGGGTCTGGTTGAGCAATAGTTGCCGTAACAGACACCGGTTCTTTCCTTTCAGAAATCTGTAAGTTGTAACATAACAAATAGTCAATAGAAGTTAGTGCACGTAGCAACAGACAAGTGAGCTGTAAAGTTCACAGCGCATACTTCGACTTGACATTTGGCCGCGACTGCTAAGGCTCATCGCGGTTGCATCCTTTCGTTTGCGATACCTAGTTTGCCTTCATAAAAATTGTGTCGCGATTGTTTAAGCCCTGCGTTCTAACGAGACCGTGTGCATTGTTGTCGTAATTATTTAAAATGAGCGATGGAGACTAAGACAAGCGCGTGGCCTTGCTCCGCAAGGTGCCCGATTTTTTTTTTGCGGTCAGTACAAAACGTGAAGTGATTAACCAACGACTCGGCTGGGAGTGTCACGGTGGCCGGTGCTTTCAACAATGCCGCCAACCTTGCTGGCGTGCTTAGTCGGAATGAACGCGGCACGACAATTGTTTTATAGGGTTTTTCGTATGTGAAATAAAAAAAGCTTTCTTCACGTTCTAGTTTCACGATGATAGAGCAGCGTTGGGAAATTCTCTCGGCTGATGTATTGTTGACGATTTGTATTCAGAGCCCGGCCCGTGCGCTCGGCGCTAACTTTCCATCAGCCTTTGTTTGTATTGACGCGAGTTAAGCCGGCAGGATACCGATTGCAACGTTTCACTCGACTCCTAAACACTTTCCTCTATGCTATGACAAGCAAATAACTTAATTGTGCGTGTAATTTGCAGTGTTTTTGTTATGCGATTGTCAGATTATTTCCAACCAACTCTGAGAGTGCGTACGAAGGCTGTTATTACGTAATTACTAAGATAAGTCCCATTCAAATTAACGTGTATACGTTTGTAGTGGCAGGTAATTGCATGCATTGATCTCCTTGAGTTTGCGGAACGACGGAAAGCCGACCGGGCGGCGTTTATTTATTACAAACTATAACCGCCTATTTGCGACATAACTGTTTGTTGACCACTCCTTAATGTCCGGCACGCGTGTGTCGAACAAATTGCGCAATATATAATAATAATGATTGCGATCAGCAATCAATAAAACGTTGTTACATGTATGCTACGGTGGTGGCTGTTCTGGTTTGTCACGAGATTGCGAAACTGTATCGAATTGTAGTCGTCTGCGCCGTAGCCCTGCACTGCACTGTCGCGAATCACTGCTTGACGCTGTTGTATTTATTAACACGATAGTGTAGGACGTTGCGTGCATGAAATCAGATTAAAACAATTCTAAACTACCTACCTACTAAACCTTAGCAATATCATAAAATGAAAATCATGATTGCAAATTACTGCACTATTAATACTTAATTTATAAATAACTAAGACCTAGTAGAAGCCTAAGATATTCAAGTTGCGCAAATTGCAATTTTAATGTGCAAACATAATACCTAAGAGCATTAAAATGAATTATATAAATAGTCAATTTCGGTTTGTGGCAACCTTAACTGATGCGCAAGCGCAACATGGCGCGTGCCGTTTGATTGATCAACCGGCTCATTACAATTCTTTATATTTAGATCTCAACTAACTAAGCTCTTAAATTACCTTGCTTTGTTCCACACGAAATTAATGATAATCCATTGTTCAGATATAAAACATAGTCGACTTGCGCAATTAATATAAATGATATCCACTTAATTAGAAGATATTAATGCCTTTAAGTAGTTCATGTGGCATCATTAGAGTTTTGTTTCATGTACTCAAAATGTAGGTACATATTAAGTTGAATAATGATAGATAAACTAGATTATTGCATAGAATGAGCAACCCAACGAAATACAGTTACATCTAGCTTTTAAAACATTATCGCGAATACAAAGGAATTCAGCTGAAGGAATAGAATAAACACTATTGAATTGTATTCCTTTAATGTCAGAAGTTAGATGCAAGTATGCAAGGCACGAAACATGAGAAATGTTAATAGTGTCACGGGCGAGTATAGCTTATAGTAATTATAGTGGACAAGTCGCTCGGTCAAGGCGGAGTCATCTTGCAACCTGTTTTATCAAATGCACAATCTTGGATTGTGTTATGTCATCTGAATACCTCGTGTTTATTTGCCAATAGAATATTGTCGAACAAAATCGAACACTGCAAAAATACATTACGAAAATCGGTGGTAATCGTACCGTGGACAAAGAATTAAAACTGGTACATGTTGATATAGATAAAAAAAACTTAGTAACGCCAAAATTCCAGACAACCTTGTATTGAAAAAAATGGTGCAAATATCGGAGCAACCTCTCGGCTGACAACCCGTGTTTACGTCATCATAAGATTTCCTGTTTTATCTATGTCAATTATGTAGCTTATTCTCATATTAATTATTGGGTGCCCGTCTAATGTCTCACGAATTCTGTTTATTGAACTATGTTATTTTTACAAGTACCTTATTATGATCAAAACCTCACAATTAAAAGGCCTTGCATTTTAATGTGGGAATTCTTTTATGCATTCCTCCACTTGTTGGCTCCAATTTAGATTATCTTACGCGAATTTAGAAACGAATTGCTGCAATAAAATGTTTACTTTAAGCAAAATATCTCCGAGAACCGATTGCACAATGTCCAAGCTCCTTGCTGCGTGGGCTCTCTGACTGCTCAGTGTTAACTATGTGCTTACTTAGCCATTACAGTAAACTATTGTTCCAATTGCAATTGTCTATTCTCATAATTTCCTAAACATCCACTTGATACCGAATAGTTTACCTACGTCCGTATGATTCAAACCATTTGACATATATTTGTCCCGACCATTGAATTCGTAAGGTCACAATTTTATGAAAAATCGATTCTTAAAATCGTGACCAGTTAGTTGTGGTCGTGGTGTGCGCACGCGCCGTCTCGGGGCCATAGAGTGAAATATGTATTTGAAACTATTTCTAGGTACTAAGTCTGCTGCCATAGTATGCCCATTGTTGGCGGATTTGTGATTTATGCACATAGTTCGCTTTCAAGGTTGATCGCTTTGCTCTATATTGTTTGGTTATGAGCAACGTAACATGCCTAAACTTCTTAAACCGTCTGTTAAAATAAATATATGCTTCGAAATGACGGAGGTAAATTAGTCAATTCAGAGTTGCAAAAATGTAATAAGTTATAAGTTTGACAGTGATTCCTAACTGAATCTTTAATGCGCTTTACCAACAACATGCTAAGTGGTGGTGCACATTTATTATATGTCTGTGCCCACTACACGTTTTCCAGATAAAGTATATTTTATGCATACAATGTTAATCCCACCCTTGAGAATAAAAATAACCTTCACACCGATAAAGTGATCGAAGCTTCCGCATAGCCTGGCCAAGTAAGTTCACTGCATTCAGTCCATATAGCCAAAGATGTCGCGTTACATCTATATTTAATGTCCAACCGCGGCTATCTCAAATAGTCCTTGAGATGAAGGAAGTCTTAGAAGCTTTAGCTAAAACGTGGTCCGTATTATTAAATCATTTCGAATTATTAAAATTTGTTCTGTGTCGGGTTTTCAAACGCGGCACGTGATACGATTTAGTATTCTCAACCGCTTTCCTTTCTTTGTTTTAAAACTTTCTTGTTCATTGTTTCGTAATTGGCTAGTGGACTTACCCGATGACTGTTCGTATGTAATCTTCAACGTAATCCTAGCAATTCGTTCACATGTCATCTGTAATTGCTATTACCGCATCTCGCATTACTTTCCAGTTATTTTTGTTTTTAAAAATAATGACGTAGCAAGTACGTGGCTTGTTAACATTTTGAACTCGTTTATCTGTGTATTTACATCTCTAACGATGCCTTTTTTCTTGTTACAGGTAAGAATTCAAACTTAATAACGCTCGTGTTATCTCGGTAAGCAACATTGTGTAGTAAGTAAGATCGGATCGGCTAGCGGCTGTGGGGGCGGTTCTCCTATTGCGCTCCTACTACCGGTGTAGTAAACATCAATTAACTGATTTCAGATAGATAATCGACGTTATTAGTTAGATTCCTTTATTGTTTAATATGAGTTATCTCTTGTGCAATAAGTTTCAAAATTTTTCCGCTGTTTTGTGTTACCTTTTGGTGGTTTTCGGAGCGTGGCGGATAATAGGCAACCTTAGATTGCGCCCGAGTCCTTCGCTTCGAGTCGTGCGAGGAAAAGCTGCATATTTTAATAGCGAATTTCATAATAGTTTCTGCAACGGCGGTGATCGCTTTAGCGGTCCGCATCTATCGGATTATCGGTGTCGGTGATTACCTCGAAGGTGATTCTTCGCTTAATTTCCACGTTACGTGACAAAGGTTCTATAATAGCGGCTTATATTCGCTACGGTTATTAGTGATGCTGGTGCTGATGATGCTGACGATGCGCGGGCGCAACTAATTGCTGAGAGCGGCGTCTATTGTTTAACATGTCGCACTAGACACATTCAGAGTTGCTACATACAAAACAATTTGTCATTGTACATTGTTCTCGACTCTCTAAGTTTTCGTAGACCTTGCTCGCAAGCGAGATACTTGTCGACCGGTTTCTTACAAGTGTTGCCCCTTTTTTGCTGCAGTATTATCGTGGACTTTTCATCGTTTGGAGCCGGATGTGAGAATTTTTTGTTGACGATCATAAGAGCTCATGACGCAATCTAATGTTTATATTATCGTCATTTAAACTAATTTAAATCCATAGGGTAAATTGTACATAATGTTTTTACAAGTTCTACTCATACTTATCACGTCGGCTCTTCATTAAATTCCGTAATACGTTTTTTGTACAGTGAATTTTTCAATGCTGACTACACATCTCAATTGGAGCGAAGCAATTTCCTAATGACATTACTTATGGGTTTTTTAATAGAAATTTTATAGAGGATGAAGAATAGTGTTTTATAGTAAAACAAGTTGTATTAATGTTTCGCTTTCGAATAATATGCAATAAAACTTAGAAAGTCAGAATGATCTGTAATTGAAAAGTCATTTCAGTTTTGTTACAACTTACAATGTTTAGAATTTTGCTCGCAAACTGTATAATGAATATTTTGCAAGCTTGAAACTTATTGTATTATATGACTATTGTGCAAAACTTCGAGGAATTGATAGACAGAAATAAACTCAAGGTACACGAACCTGAGTATGGAATGCCAGGATCGACTAAGGTGAACAGGCTTCGTGACTATGTGTCATCTTAACGCAATAGGACCTTTATGCACTATAAATTGCAGTGCCACCTTCGCATTGGCATGTTCGTCGTTTGACCCTTGAGGTACACCCTTCCAACGTTCTTTATTACTCCCCTTCCTTTACAAGTCTATACAAAATTATCCGGTGACATTACAAACCGGTTTCGTATTCAACTCGACTGAATATTTCTAAACTTATGATCATATCTGCGTCAGCATTCCAAGAAAATACCATTTTAATTGATAAATATCGTAATCCATGGAATGATGTAAATGAAACACGTTATACAAATGATGCTGATTTGAATTCGTACCTGTTGCCTTACTAATATTCGGTACGTTCGCATGTGTCACACTAATACTATATAGCTACCCTGGTAAATCAGTTACACTTACTTTCTAATAACAGATGGTGTTAGATCTAACAAGTTTCTTAACATACTTTTTCTCACCTCGTGGTTACTCCGGAAATCTAAATATTTCGCCCCAATAAGATATCAATCTTCATGTTATTATTTTACAGACTCACGGATATTAGTGTTTACGTCCGTGTTTTAATTGCTATTTGTTTCGCGTTCACACGGTTTATCCGGATCGCTGATTATGCGCACATTTATTTCGATTCAAGTCGATCGCGTCTTGTTTCAAAGCCCGCATGTTTTTATGACAAATGTTGTCATTTCCGCAGTTTTGGAATCATTAGCAGATTTATTAGCATATAGGCTGGTTGTCACCATGCAATATTTGTTTACGCAGGTCCCCCTTAAGTATTTGTTGTATTTGATACCATTTAGTTATGTCATATTAAGTCCACGTCCGACTTTCGTCCACATTTACTATACATCTACTTACGATCGGAAGACGGCTATTTGTATGTCTGTTGTGATATAACGGATCGTCAACATGAACACTGAGACATCTGTATATGTCTATCAAACCGGTAAAATTGTAGTCGGTTATTTCAAGCGTAATAAGGAAGCCAATTGCAAACTAGTAGTATCGATAAGGGATTCTTAATAATCATTACAAAGTTCGATGATAAAAGAATAAAACATTCAGCGCATAAAATTCTGTTTCTTTTTATCGCACCAAAAAGTTTACTTTGAAAACCAATTAGGAACCGATCGGTACGTGATATAACGTAATACAACAACATCGACCGTTTTCGAGGTTTATTTAATGATAGGTATATAAAATAGTCACGTAATGACGTTGTCGAATTGTTGATTATAAATTTTGCACGCGTACGAATGTAGGTCCGGCTGGGAGTTCCGTTAACTTCGATCACAACGTGGACATTATAATCATCATTGATCGATCACGTAAACACGTCCAAACATTTTATTATGCTGTACTTTATGTCCTCGGAATTACCCGAATACCGAATGTTCTTCGCTCATTATACCGCCTTAGACTATGACTAATACCTGTGTTTTTAAGCTCGCGTTGATGCAATTCAATTAAGCAAAGTTGATTGTATTTCTTGTGCATTGACATTATGTTTCCAAACAATATTCACTGCATCTTTGTTTTCATTTACGTTTTTTAATTGAATTTATATTTATTTAATGTGATTTATATTATTTTTCATTCATTCATATTTTAGGAAGCTGTTTTCGATATATGTTTTGCCGCGCAGGTTTATGTTTTGATGCCGTGGGTGTTTGCGTGGAACTCTGGCTATACTGACGGCACAAGTAGGCGAACTAGAAGCGAATATTGACTTCGGTCACGCCAGGACTACATTTTGATAGTATTAAGCAACAGTAGTCACACAAACCATTGAAACACTTTTGTTTAAATGTTCTCACAAGTGTTTATAGTGGCGTCATTGGGTTTTATGTCGAAGGCTGGTCGCTGTGAAACTTTGACTTTAATATTTGTGTCGTGATACCGGCTGCATTGTTTCTGGAGTCGCGCTTATTGTTGCTGCGCCGGCACACCGTCTAGCCCGTGAGATCTGGGTCGGGGACCTGACTGGATGCATGCGATTGTCGTATGTACGCTCACTAGCTTACTATCAATCGCGCCTAACTTAAAATCTTTATTACTATAACGTTTGTAAACAAACACAATCTTACGTTTTCTGTCAAACGGTTGAGGCTGCGGCAGTACACACTGTTCTTCGTCTTCAGTCGCACATCACACGACGACGCTGTAAAGTCACTTCACTCTAGTTGTAAATTTTTGTCACTGGTGTTCAGTCACTGCACATACTGGGGGTGTAGTGTCACTGTTGTCGCTTAGCGGTGGAATGTCGGTTGTGTTGTGTCCCGAGGGTCACCGCGCCGGTCAGTGGTGGGGTGCACGTGTGTTCGGCAGGTCGCGCAGCGCATGAGTGGCCGCGGTGGTAGGGGGCGCCGGTGTAAATACGCCGCCGTAGCGCGTGCGCACCGCCTACGCACACAGCCACGCCGGCGACACACACTGTCGCGTGTCACGCTGTAGCGACACCGCTGTGACGTGAGCCCGCACTGTGATGCGGCTCATCTCACAACTAATGACACCTATTGATATGTAATTGATGGGAGAACCCTATACCTTCGTGTGCATACCAGCATACGGATGTTAATAAATTACGTTACACACCTAATCCAAACCAGCTCTGATGTAACGACTTGTTTTGTGTATGCATTAGTATCCTAATGATCCGATTATTACTTACATAAAGACTTGAATGTGAAGGGCTAACTGACTGCCGTAGTAGATTCATTTATGATGTATGCAAAATAAGCATCATTTATGATTACCATTATGTTAAGATAAATATGCATTGATAGTATTTTAATCATAATATTATTTGTTACTACTTCGTAAGGTAATGCAGAAACTGCTGTATTGTTAAGAAGTTTATGTGTGATAATAAAATATGAGAATTTATTTCTAGTTGAATTTCATATATCAAGCTAAGGATATTGTATTCTCTGCATAAATACTTTGATTAGCATGTATTACAGAGATGAGGTCAAGTTTAAATTCTTTACATATTTTGCAACATGATACAAAAGAATCAAATAAAACTGCCGGCATACCTATGACGCTATCAACATTTAACACAGCAACTGGTCATTACCGAACTTACATAATTTCCATATCTGTGTGTTGTCTTAGTGACTCAGTACGTTTGACAAAGTTTTCTTAAATTTGCTTGCTTTGTGAGTCGAATTGGTCTCTTTCACAGCACGATATAATAATTCTCATTTTGCCTTATACAACCATGAATCCAATAACTATTGCTATTTTCTGAATCCTTCGGGGAACAACATTTGGTGATCAGGTTTCCTACAACTAACATTCTCAGTACCGTCACTAACTTGGAATGTAGGATTGGTTTTACCCAGGACTTTCGTCCGGCACACACATAAGGGATCAACATTCTTAGAACAAAGGAAAACTAGGCAGCTTATAAATAAACTTGTCTATATTTGTACGCTTGTATGTAAACTTTGTTTAGAGTCATTAACTGTGGTCAATACTTACTGGATGACGACGGACCATGACTAAGTTCTATTTTCATGTGACATCATATAGACACAAGTGTCAAAGGGTATGTCGTCAGGACGGCAATGATAAATTTATTTTCTCGGAACCAGAAGCATGAATCGTACCTACAATTGGCTGGCTATTAATGATCTTAAGCCGTGCCCTTTCCTGACTCTGAAGGATGTGATGTCACATAACTTTGACCACTTCCTCGTCTCGCTTACCTGAGAAGTTAATGCACTTCCTGCTTCCAAAATATTGATGATGCATTTCTGCTTCAGTATTTAAAGATAAGCAAACAATTATCTTAATGTGTTATTGTTTGTGTTTTTAAATACTAGTGACCTTGAACCCTGAGCCTTTCTGTCTCGGTCAAGCTGCAGCTCTATGTCAAGTCCGAATACAACGTGGAGATCCGCATTTACACCGCGATCATCTAGAGTCGGCGCTCGCTAAGTTGCGCAAGCGCCGGCGAGTCATCGACACCGGCGCGTCCTCGGAAGGTCGCGGACGGACCCCGTACGGGACCGTCCACATTACCATAATATCATATAAACCTTATCAGCGTCGTGTATCAATGTGTTTACGTTGGTGTGTATGTGTGTGCCGGATCTAGCTTTTAAAAAGGTCGTTGGTTCGTTTTTTGTGAAGCTTGAGGTATTCAGGTTTTCCCAGCGCCGGGGGTAGGAAACTACAGTTGTTTAGCTTTTTTTGACCAAGAAGCAGGTCAAAATATTTCAGAACCTGCGCCGAATCTTCTTATTTTTTTAAACTTGCTTTTTAGAGGTCTTGTTAAATTGTTGTGATATGTGAGGTCGGTGTGCTGTTAACACACTTTGTTGACTGTTATTGATATTGCTTTTTATAAATATTGGCGCCAAGTTAAACAAAAGTGTCATTAATTTAAAAATATCAAATGTACGATCCTTTTTTACCAGTCACTGACAGAAATTTTGGACTTTGGATAACCCCAACACCGGAACAAAATATATTTCGGTGAGAATTGTAATAAATGTAGATAGCTACTTACGTGTGGCGTTAATTGATACAACAAACTATTGCCAAATCGTATGTGTCATTATTTAAACTTTAGTTTAGGTCACTTCTGTTTTGTCAGTGTAGTGCGCACCGGAAACTACAGCACGATTAACTAATTTTCCATTCTCTTTTAAGCACTGTGTAAACTGTTATTTATACTGGAGTACGTACGCTGCAAACTGTAAAGTATTTAGCTCAAGTTACACGGTGGTCAAAATAAGTTACATCGAAGTTATTGCGTGGAATTCTATCAATTCACCAGCGCGAGCGCCGCGACTTGGGAGCGATTCGCGATGGTCGTTTGTTATTTTCATTATGTTTTTTTTCTCGGAATCGTGTTTAGGTGGTGTCGCCGCGGCGCGTCCGTACCACATTCCGCGACACCGAGGCGCTTGCCGGCTCTGACCGTTTGACCACTTCATAACTCTAAGGACCCTACTACTGTTTCGATTCGAGATTATCTCACATTCTATACGTTTAAGCGCCACATTACGTACGCTAGTCACGTACCATTTATAGTTTTCGTGATTCACTCTGAGTAACTGTATTTTGATCGAATGAACAGCTGTAGTTTTATGTGTTTGAAGAAGATATGAAACCTGACGATATTCCTGAACTACCGCCAATTTCACTCGTCCACAAATTAGTCACCGTTTCCCGTTTTCTCGGATAAATGATTACGCTGTCAGTATTGCCAGGTAGATAAACTCCGCTTCATTAAGATTTTCATAAGCATCTGTGAGTGAATTAATTTTCCAAAGATAAAGACGTAGGTTCCTACGTTGAAACAGTTCATTTTTTTCTTGCATTCGTTGCGACTTCTATTTACGAAACACGAAAAATATCTTAATATGATGTTTACAGTGAAGGTTCTCTTCTCTATTTAATTTTTTTCTCTTTTCTTTACTGTTATGTATGCCTTCGATAGGACCATGAAGTAATGAGTGATAATTTAAGTTTAAAAAAAATATTTTTGTTAGAGAATGTTACTTAAGTCCATCTAAGTTCGCGAGACAATAGTAAATCGCGAACATCGGTGGAGGCGCCGGCGATCTCGCGCCCGCCAAAATTTGGCTCCGTGCGTCCGCTTAAATTATGTAATCGAATATTCATGATGCCTTTTTTGGGTGCATTGCTTTTTTATATCACAGCTAGACATATTCCACGGTCCCGTTTGTGGTTTTTCGTATTATTTGGTACTTAAATACTGATTTATTACGAAGTGGATCCATGTTCTAGTAATTGTTATAAAGTTTTTGGATAACAATTTTACCATTAAGACACGTGTTCATGTCTTGAATCAAGGAAAACAATTTTAATTAAATTTGTGATAAATTAATTCGAATGAAGAATTTCTCTAAATCTTACTATTAATTTATCAAATGAGAAGCTCTTTACGATGTATATACAGACTTGAATGAAGTAAGTATATATTTTGTAATCGATCAGTGGTACTTTAATCGATAAATAGAATCGATTTTGCGCTTATATCTATAGCACCTAGTTATTATTGGTAATAGGCTCTTTAGTTACATAAAGTTGTTTCCGTTATTTCGAAGACTATTAAAGTACCAATGTTGGATGTAGATTAATATTTTAGATAAGCTCTGATTGCCACCATTTGTTTTTTTCTGAGTTCAATGTCCCAGTTTTGAGTGTAAAGCTTTTAATACTTTAGGGCGAATATTCGATAAATAGTTTTGTTTTTTGTCCACATTTGTTTTGGTATAAGTGATTTCAAATATTTATTTGATCAGGTTTAATTTTATTTTGTGTTTATGCTGTTATTGTTTATCATACCAAAAATTAATGTTTAAATAAAATATTCGGCGAATCTATAAAATTATTCCGTGACGTCTGCTGTTCCATTAATTTTATTTGAACTTGTTATTTTTTAGCGAGCACATAAATATGTATTTCGAGACTAATATGGACGTTATTGAAATAGTTGGAATTCTTGTGTTTTGACGCAAATAAATTAGTTTATACTCGCGGATTCTTAGATATGTGAAATACCCAAGTAACTGTGACTCGCGATAATTAATTGGCAACAGGATAGTGAATTCCTTTTGGCGCCAAATTATATATACAGTCGTAAAATAACAGCCATATTGTATTCTGTTAACGAGAAAAATATTTTTATTTTTATTCTTACGCGGATATATTGGAGTGATTTTTTAGCTGGAGTAATTGGACGTCATTAGCGATCCATTAAAATGTTCAATTATTTCTTAGATATCATCAAGTATTAATTATTATCAATCAACCAATTATAGATAAACTTCACATTGAACTTGTTCGATGTTTATTTAGGAATCTTTAATTCTATTGTTTCTTATATTCTCATGGTATTTTGCAATAAAAGCCTTGTTCCAATTAGTTCTTCGGGTGTTTAGCACTTTTCAAGTGTTAGCATCCGTTGCAACTCGCGATTTTATTATGCAAGTCTTATTAACACCTTGGATAATTTTAAGCGAACCCTTTAATGAGTAATAATTTTCACACCCAAATTAGGAGTTTGGCTTATTATAATTTCAAGCTGTCAAGCGTGGTTATTGTAAAAACTTTGTGAAAAATCACCAATGAATTATTTTTTATAAATTTTTGAACATATGCATATATCAAGGCCGTAAAACATAAAGCATATTTTAATTAAAAATTAAGCATATTTTAGAAAAAGTAACTTTTTAACTTAAAATAAAACTGATAAATTAAGGAAAAAACATTTCAAAAATGTATTTGTCTATTAAGACTGATTGCGTATAGTTAGGTACCAGGATTCGTTAAATTCAAATCGGCAGTTTCCATGCTTGCAAACCCGTCTTAAGCCTAACAGAATATTTGCCACAAAGCCGAACATCCTGGTTGAAAAAACATTATTTCGTTTTTTTTTTCTAATTTATGTGGCAATGGCGCTTAAGATTAGGTACCCTAATTTAATATGCTAATCATATTGACAGTGATGTTGTTAAGTGTGTGTTAAAATATGATAACGATGTGATAATTACTTAATAGGCTATGTATCTTCCGTCCTAAAAGGTTACTCGACACCGAACTTTGTCAAGTAAATAAATATTCGGACCAGATTTTAAAATCTGTCTGTAAAATCTGTATAGCCCTTAGTGCCTGGTGTTAGTGATTTTTCATATCAATTTAACAAGAAATTATAATGTCATTATCCTCAACCCAAAATTTACGATT